ATTAAAATTCTCTTATTGATTGTTGTTGATATGACTTTCAGAAGAATAAATTTGATTTAATACGAATATTATTTTCATTATACATATGTGTAGCCTTCGGAGAATCGTGTAAACAACAATCGATAGAAGAATTTGAACTGACTTTCATCGAGGACATTGAATCAGTTTACTGTTGGATTTCGAAGAGGACGGTGCGTTTAATTTATATTTCGTGCTTTTAGACTACAATATATATTTCCTTTGATTAATTATCAATTATTTAAGGTATGCGTACAATCTATTAATATTTTTAATTGTTTACATTAAAATAATACTTGGTTTAATGTGTTCCTGTGGTCAATGATGACTTTGAGTTGCAAATTTTCATCTAATAAATTATCAAATTAAAAGTTTTTTTAAATTTCAGGTGTATATTAATAGGTACATATATATATATATATATATATATATTAATATACTTGGAATATTAAAAAATTTTAATTATATTTTATTGTATATTATTTTATTATATAATATTAAAATAAAAATCATGTAAAATGTATTTGTTTAAAATTATATATATATAATTTATTTATTTTATTTTAAATTATATATATTCTATATATTATTTTATAATTTATTTTTATTATTATATTTATTTATATAAATAACTTATTTATATTATTTATAACTTTAAACAAATATATTTTGTATCTTACTTTAGGTATTAAATCAATTTTAATAATATGTATTTAATTGATTTTGATACTAAAAAAACTTTTGAATAACAGTAAAAAACAAAAAGGATAACTAATTGTTAAATATGAATTATAGATAAATATGTTAGATATGAAAAAACCAGGTATTTCCCCTATTATTACAATAATACCAACATGTAGAATTTTATGGTAAAGGACACTGGCCCAATCAGACGACCATGGTCACGGTGGCCACGGTGTACGATTTTAAGAGACACTTATTATATATATGAATCAACTGATTATTTTTCACATAATAATTATACGAGTTTCACTTCTGTTGCACATAAAGGTTCCGTATATTCTTTTTTTTATTTTTTTTTTTATTGTGATTGATAATTCCTTAATTAACAATTGATAGAAAAAAAATCTTACAAATGAGTTAACAGTATAAGATAAGAAACAATTAATCATTTTTGGAAAACATATAGAAGATTATATTCCATGATGATAGATAATGATCTCTTCGAATAAAATACCGAGAATCAAGCGATACAGGAAGTCCTTTTCGCAAATCCACAGGTGAATCGTTTGCTACTGAAATGTTCCATCGTGCATTTTTTCATTGGCCAATTCGACCAATTACAAGAAGCAACAATTCTCACCGGTTAAAATGTTAAAAGTGCGATACAATCAGTTAGACTTATTTCTTGAAAAAATTTCTGAGAATTTTATTGATCGATTCTTTCTTTATTATTCTAATCGAATTTTTTAAACGCAATTCAAACACATAAAATTTAATTATTATTATTATTATTATTATTTTTCTTGTGTATTTCGTGAAAAGAACAACAAAATGACTGATGTTACATATTCGCGGCCGAGAAAAATTAACATAGAAAGTTTGTGCACGGCTTGTAAATCTCGGCCAATTATACATTCACAAAGAATCGTTCTAAATTTTTATTATACACGTATTTTTAAACCAATAGGTTCTCTTTACTCGTCACGCTTTTAATTTAAGAGCGCGTTACATTGTCTCGCTCGTGTTCTCCGTTAGCCCCCACTACGACTTTCCTTAAAGGAACGTAACGACTTTCTTTTAATATACCAAATACCACGAGTACCAGGATAACGTTCGTTTGTGCAATATCGGCCATTCAAAGTACTTACAAAAATATAATCAAGAAAGAAGAAGGTGGACGACCTTCCCTACAGGCACAACCATGAATATTTCTGAATCAGATCATAATACCTGTAACCGCACTGCACTGTCTAAGCTAATCATTTTTTACCATAAGTACTTAGCCTAAGTGATGTAACTGTTTTTACTCCAAGTATTACTTTGATTTTTTTTCAATATATTAAAATTATTTCGAAGAGAATCAATATTACATGATTGATAAGAAATTGAAACAAGATTAACCAACAACAATTATTCCATTTCAAACAAACTTCTATTAATTAAAATATGTATAATAATTTTTATTCATTTATACATTAATTAAACGTAATAATCTTGACGTGCTGACAATTTTCAGTTTTCTGTTTTTTTTTTTTTATTAAAAATAAGAAATAAAAAATGAAAAGATCAAAAAGAGATATTTCAGGATAAGAACGTGAGGTGACTCACCCTGTATAAGTACAAATATTCGAAATGAAAGATGTAAGTGTAGATGATGCTCGAAGTAATTGGCCGAGGATTAAAGTCGGCATATACGTTTATATATACATACGTATATACGTATTCACAAGGTATGGAAGGTAGTAGAGAAAGAAAGAGTGAGAGAAAGAAAAAGAGTGGAGGGAAAGAGGCATTGCACCTGAGAGCAGGTGCGTCGCAAGGTCCCTATATTCTCTCTTTCTCTCTCTCTCTCTCTCTCTCTATCTTTCTTTTCACCGATCTTTTTTCTCTCCTGGAATACCTCTCAACGATCAGTCTGATGTACTGTACACAGGGGACATTAAGCCGATCAAGTACGGCAATTCGATTTCCAAGTTCATATCGGTTTATTGTTTTTTTTTTCCTTTCTTTGTTTCCGCCTTCCAAATGCACCCACTACCTTCAACTTTCATCTTTGTCCTTCTTTTCCCCTTTCTCTTCGTTTTCTTATTGCACTTGATGCAATCTTTGACACGGGTTGACCTACGGGAAGGTAAATAGGGATATTGTATTTATATATAATATCTTTACAAATAGATGCATATGTAAATATATATATATATATATATATATACGTGTGTGTATATAATCTTCTTGTTGAATATATATTCTAAACAATTATTTATATAATAATAAAAATTTGTCGAATCTCTTTTTTTTCTTTTTATTTGTTGTTTCATCAACATTATTGAAATATTTCTAAACTCGTTGGGATAACCAAGAAACTGGTAAAGTGGGGCTAGGAAAAATGTTAGGGTCACCATCAGGCATCAGGCGAAAGACGAAGTCCGGCATACGATCGGCTCGAATCCAATCACGCAGATGACGACGCTGCTTCAGCGGCAGCTGCAACTTCGTACTTGTGCATCGATGAATATTGCCTCCAGCTTTTGGACCTTCGCTGTCACACCAGTGAAGGTACGGATTTGTACTTACTAAGTTCGAGGCCATAGTGAGAATCGATTTACAAAAGTAAAACGAACGCACGTACGTACGCATTGATATTCTTCGTATCTTTAACTATTGATTATAGAAAATTATTGCTAAAAGACGATCGAGTTATTATTAATCGAAATATACGAAGCTAATAATTGAACAATACTGATTTCTAACTATAACAACCACTCTACTACGTAATCCACGTTGATATTTGTTATTACTGTTGTTTAGAAAGCGACTTAATGTGAAAGAAGATTATTACATTTTGTTCCGAAGAAAAAAAAAAAAAAGATATATTAGCGATATATATATATTACGACATGAGAAATCTATTGTCTGACAATTTATTGACTATTACTACTATCGATAAAAGAGAATATTAAAAGCAATGCTTCGTAAATGCATTAATCGTTTAATTTACGATCACTAATAACCTAAATCACTTAGTCTTTTGTAATAAAGAGACAATGAACTTATTCACTGATATGAAATAATCAGCGTAGTTGTTTATTCAATTTTATACCCAATAAATTCTTCGAACAAATATATATATATATATATATATATATATATATATATATACGCAAAATTTACGAGAAAGGAAGCAAAAGTTGAAACGTCAACAGATAAAATACGATGTACGATGTACAATCGCGCATACGCGCGAAAGCTATTTCGTTTATTGCTAATATAAATACCTTTCTTTTACAAAGTCGAATTTGCACAGTAATTTCTCGCATAACACGCGTAAAAAATATCGGCCAACCGAGCGACGGAATATTGCTAAAAAGATACTAACGAGTCCAGATCGACGATGAGTGAGTGAATTGAAATAAATGGATAACGAACGTTTCCTTGTCGTTATCCAATTATAACGATTATCATTTCGTTCGCAACCATCACTTTTTTTTTTTTTTTTTCTTTTAATCAATCAAGTATCGTGTTCCTTGTACATTATACCAATGTACATATACACCGTGTATTGTGAACATATAACTTCGGTTACATAAAAGTAGACATACTGCCGAATAACCTCGTATTCATTTCTACAATACGAGAACTTTGAAATTTGGCAAGAATTCTATCCCTGTAACCAATCGAATAATCGATCTTCCAATTCCAGACTTTATCATGTTTAACAACCACATTAAACGAAGATGACACACCAATTTCACTAATAATTAGGAGGACAATCTTCGTGCAGGTGTCTGCTCACATTGTTTCTGTTCTTGTTGTTGTTCTTGATGTTGTACTTGTTTCTTTTGCTGTTGTTGTTGTTGCTGCTGCTGTGTATAAAATCCAAAAGGACGTGGATTTTCAGATGTGGATGAAAAACCCGCTGTTGTACTTGGTACTGCCATAGATTTTGATGAAAGTACGGATGTACCAACAGCTCGTTGCAATGATTTATGTTGAGTTACACTTGAGATTGTTTGATGAGATCGTAGCGGAACGAGGAGAGGACGTTGAACTTTTTTCACATGATGATGTCCACTCGGTATACGATAACCTTGATGTCCTGGACCACTTGGTTTCAATCTAGGTCGGCCTGGACCACGACGAATTGATGAATTTCCACCTCTATTGGATAAAGGACCTAAAGAACCAACAGAGCCTAGAGGCCCTACAGTACTGGGACCATCACCGTCAGTTGATCCGATACACCCTTGTGTTCCTATAACAATAATCGATTTGCAAATATTTATGAAGCATCACGAAGTATTTTACGTGTTTTCTTATAATACCAACAAATAATATTGATCATCTTGGAAAAAAATAAATATATATATATATATATATAAGTTTATGTAAATTCTTGAAATACTATCGAGATTGTATTGTGATAATTTGTAGGACTGCTACGTCAGTTTTCTGGAAAGTAGCTCCTTCAAAATATTAGATTACAGATCGATTTATTCACCGAAAAGAAACATTGTAGAACCATTCGGATCGTGCCAAAGCATCTTTTCTCAGCATTCGTAAGGTCCAGAGAGACAAGATATAGTCTGGAATAAAAAGAAAAGATTGAGAAATATAGTGAAGATAGTAGGGGAAGGCGGGTGGAGCGACAGGGTCGAAGGTCAGTAGCCGCACGAGGACATACGAAGAACGTGTCTCGGCTGCCTTCTCCTTCCCTACTTTATTTCTTTTTGTATAGTCCTTTCTTCCTTATTCCCATCCAAATCCTTAAACATTCCATGGCACGTCCCAATCCCATTCAAATTGTTCTCTTCTACATGGAGGACTCTAAAGTAGGCACTCGACGATGGGAAAGAGAACAAAATTGAAGAATCCGTGAATTTTCGATAAAAGCACGGCTCAATGTTATTCTTTGTTCGGATTATGTTAAGTCGATTTAATGGAACGATTTATTATTTAAGGGAAATAAATAACTACGATATTCGTTCTGTCAACATTCGTAGAACTATGAAAAATTAACAACGAAGTAGTTACTATCAGATTAAACAAAGGGAATGAAAAAAGAAAAAAAAAATAAGATGGGAAAGAAGCTTGATCACTGATTGAACGCAGTTAAGATTCCACGGGATAATACTGGAAGGATAGGATAAGGAAGGGTTGAGTCAGCCAGACCGGCGGCATTCCGTGAATCCTCGCGTTCCATTCGCTTTCAACTACGTCGAATCCACCGGCAGCTTCTTTGTGTCCTTCGTTCTATATCTCGCTACGGGAGGATTCCACCCACACATGCTTACATCAAAGTCTTGTGATCCTCTCTTACCAATATAAAGAGATTAATAGATAACAAAATTAGACACCGTCTAATAAAATTTACCAACTAAAATTTTCGTTTTGTACTTGTAATATTTTGTTTGTTTTATTTTTGTACGTAAAATCTAAATCATTATAAAATCCTCTTCTTCATACATTTATACTTACATATGTTTATAACTTCGTTACCAGGTATAGAAAAAATAATAAAATCGAAGTATAGAATAATACGATACGGTAGTACGATATGGCATGGCACGGTACGGTACGATACGATACGGTATGGTACGAGTTGGCGACAAAACGCGACGGAATAATTCGCAAAATCCAATAGCTTTTTCACATTTATTTGCATCACGAAAATACATTTCAATACGAAGGGTTTCATAAATGAAGTAGTCACGATAAGAATGTTCGTGATAACTATTAGAACTTAGAACGCGTCTCAATCGATGATTATTCTTTTGAGGTTTCTTTTAAAACTTTATATTCTTTTGTGTATTATAAAAATTAACATTAAAATATTGATTTGAATAACGATTAATATGACTATCAATCAAAAGCAATTTAAATGATTGGTCAAGTCTAGAATAGTATATTTAAAAGTTAAAGATAGTTAGATAAATAAAACAAAAAAGATAGATAGAGATAAAGAGAAATTAGAAGAGCATCGATCACAGCTGTCGCCTTCGCTCCGCACCTGCTATTGTCCGTTCGCCTTCCAGTCAACGACAAGTGAGAAACCGACCCCTTTCCTTTTCGTGTATGTAGCACGAGCATACGCGCAGCATACCGAATCAACTTCGGTCCACGTGTCGTTACGTGAGATCATTTACCCGTCTTGTTCCTCCTTCGTGTCCTCCGCTCATAACACGATGCACCGAGAACAAAGTCTGCTGACAAATAAGATTGCGTTGATCTCGAATGCATCAACATGTGCTTAGAACATCATCATCCAATCCCTCTCGCAATAATGTGATGATCTTTTTCATTTAAGCACTTCTCATCATTGTTTTTTTTTTGTTTTTTTTTTGTTCTTATATCATTAAAAAACCTTCTCTCCTTGATTTTTTAAATTTAATTTTATCATTATTCACTTATTATATATTACTATTTCAAATGTAATTTTAACAAACAAGTTTATTCTACCTCTGCTGTAAAAATATGAATATAGTTAAGTATTTAAATGGAGCAAGAAAAATACAATCATAGGAATGAGTCATGACACTTTCTCCATAGGGGTAAGAGGAAAATGGACCGATTTCGAGAGGGTACTTTCGGATTTTGCCCTATCGCAAAACTCTAAGCGTTCCCCCCTTGGCACTTGTGCGCACATGTGCTCGCGAGGGAATTTCGTTGATCCACACTTCTATTCAAGGGATATATACGCGAATACGGGCCCATGGGCGTATTTCGTCTGTGCATTGCAAAATCCCACGAGAACCTGACCAAGTGTGGAAATAAAGGAAGAGAGAAAAAGAGATGAAAGAAAAAGAGAGACGGAGAGGGAGGGGGAGAGGGAGAAGAAACGAGAAAGAGAAAGGAAGAGGGGGAAAGAGAGAGAGAGAGACAGACAGACAGACAGACAGAAAGAGTGTAAAAGAAAAGGGGACTTAAGCAAAGGGACTGATAGAGTATAAAAGAGTCAGCCAGGGATTAACCCTACATTGAAACGAGGGTGCGTCGTCACGAAAAACGATTTTCACGAAACTATGATTTTATCAAGTGTGTTAAATTGTGTAAATTTATATATGATTATAATGATCTAAATTATTATTTGACGATTTTAAAAGATACATTAACGTCGATAAGCTTTTATAAAATAATGAACTAATCTCATTCTCTAGAACGAATAAAATCTTACCATGCTGCATAGATTGATCGGCCTGAGAAGATAAACTGCCAGTAGTTGCTGATGATGATTGAGACAAAGTGCTTGCAGATTTTGATGAAGATTGAATCATGAAAAGACCTCGGCCTTTTCCGCCAACTGGTCCACCTCTTCGAGAACCCCGTGGTCTTCCTCTTTTACTACTACCACGAACACTTGGTCGTATTCGTCCGCTAACGTTTCCAGTCATAACAAAATTGTGATCAAGATGTGCAGATTTAGCCGATTCTCCAAACTGATTAACGGACGATTGTCTCGAATCAATGTTCGATCCTATCATAGGACTATCCACATCGACGACTAATCCTTCATTGCTCGTTTCATCCTGTACATTGCAAATTCATTTCGTATATAAACAAGAAATAGATTGAATTTATTTGAAATGAATTTTATTATACGAACCTCTGACTTGATTGGACTAGCAGGAACACTATGATCTTCAGGAATATCGACTTGATGATTATTTTGATAATGTGTTTGTATCGAATTTGTCATTTGTTTGCTATCATTCAAATTAACTTGTGAATTATCACCAATTTTATCGCCATTGGCATCCATTAAGCATTGCCTTTTAGAATCATCCTGCGAAATCAATGACTTTTAAGCAAAATCATTAGGATACGGATGTAATAAAGATAGGCGCATAATTGCACATAGAAAGGACAAATGAAGGAGAAGATATATACATAAAAAAAAGCGATGAAAGAGAAAGAAAATATAATGGAAAGAAGTACGGGCGATAATAATGTAAGGGTGTCTGTCTCACCTTGACCGGAAGCGCGGTTAACTTCCTCTTCCGCTCCCTCTCCTTGTGGTGCAGGTTCGACTCAAGGCGAGTCTCGTCCACGTGCGGCTTTCTCTCCTCGCTCCGTTGGCTATCTGAAATATACGGATACAAACTTATACGTAAATATGTACCACATTCCGTTACCTCTCTTATTATTATTCGTTATTAAAGAATTAGCATAACCTAACGAGCATAATACTATTGTGAACACCCTTTCATCCGATTTATCCGTTCATTATTTTTCGTTCAACGATCCACGATACATAATATAGAATACATTTCTATTCATATATATGCAGAGTACCCAAAACGGGTTGAAACCAAACTTGTACTACGTATTACTCAAGTCAAATCAAAAATATTGATATATACAGTGAGTTACAGAAGTATTCGTACTCCGCCTCCACTGGAAATGTTAAATGATATTTATTTGTAATGCAAACTTTTCAAATTCTTATATACAGAAGCCTATTTTAAAATTATTAAACTTTCAAATTAATATAAATTAATTTGATATAATATATAATTATATATAAGTTATTATATTAATACAAATATAATTTTACTAAAAAGAATTTGTGTGTGTGTGTGCCTAGATAAGATATAATAAAAATACAATTAATATTTTTGTACAAAATTACTTAAGTTAATCTTCCTTTGGAGTACGAATTTTCCTGTTACTCTCTATATATGTATATTAAACGATAACGAAAAAGAAATGATAATGAATATTAAAGCAACAACAAAAATACAAAATTTCTTATTATATGCTTACATTTCGCTTCAATCTCTTCATCATCCAGTAAAAGTGAAACCACCTCTTTTGGTTTCAGAGTATCTGGCTTAAAGTTTCCTCCACTTATTACCATACGTTGTATCTTTAAGAAAACGTACGTTAGAAAAACATATATATATATATATATACAAAACAGTACAATATCAATCCATTAATCTATCAAACACACCTCACTCTTTTCACGTGCCCTTTGTAATATCCTTTCTTCGATAGTACCTTTACAAATTAATCGATAAACAGTAACTTGCTTAGTTTGTCCTAATCTGTGAGCACGATCCATAGCTTGTTGATCTACTGTTGGATTCCAATCACTGTCATAAAATATTACCTAAAATATTATAATGTGTTAATAGAAACGTTGAAAAAAATTATTTACAAAAATTTACATACCGTATCTGCAGCAGTAAGATTAATCCCAAGACCACCAGCTCTAGTACTCAAAAGAAAAACGAATATGTCTGCTCTAAAAATAATAAACGTAAAAAACATTGCTTTTACTTTGAATTAAAAATATTTTCTATACTAACTAAAAAAAATTATTGTTGATTTACCTTTTTTGAAAATCTGCAACCATATCACGACGATCTGAAATTTTGGAAGAACCATCTAATCGCATGAACGTATGCTTCCTATGGTACATGTATTCCTACAAAATTAGTTTTATAAATTAATTATAATTTAGATTAATTAAAAATACCAAAATGGAATGTTCATATTACCTCTAACAGATCAATCATCTTTGTCATTTGAGAATATATAAGAACGCGATGGCCTTGTTCTTTCAATCGTCGAAGAAGACTATCAAGAACAGAAAGCTTTCCTGCATCTGTTACTAAAGTTTGTTTGTCTAAAACATATTATACATTATGTGTGAGAATGTTTATTTGAAAGTTACTATTACTTAAATATAAACAAATATTTTTAATATATATATATATATATATACATGCCTGGTACAATAATATTAGACCATCCATTTATTGGATTACATGCAGATAATCCACCAAGTGGTTCATATGAGAATGTAGATGTTCTGTGTTTTACACGCATATTTAAATTATCTTGTGATTCAGAAAGAGAAATTGCTCTTTCGTAACCAAACCAAAGTAAAGTTTGGCCAAATGGTCCACCACAATCTTCGTGCCTTCTCCATGCACATGCAGCAGAACTATTGCTAACATACAACTTACGAGGATTCGCTTGAACCTATAACATAATAAATACATATAATCAAAATAAGATATTTTATAATCAATATACGCTAACTAGATTTATTTATATTATAGACAAAATATATATCTAACCTTGGGATAATTGTCATGGACAAAAGCAGGGATGGTTGTTTGCTGACAAAATCTAGAAATTGAAGGACGAGGAAGATGAGGATGTTCAGGTAACAATGTTAATTTTGTCTCTTCTCCTTGTTCTGTTTTAGTAGAAGATACTCCTTTCTATAATCAAATAACAGTGATAAAATTACAATACATATTTTGTAGTTTAACAATCGTTAAACTTAATAATATTTAAATATACTTACTTTTAACATTTGAATAGCAGTTTTTTTACTACTACGTAATATTCTATGAGCAACTGTTTCTGGCATTGAATGAATAGTATGTATAGTATGTGTATATAAACCTTCTCCTTCAAGTATTTTTTCCGTAAAAATAATATCACTAATCGTTTGCGATGATGTGTCAATTTTTCTAGGTAATAATAACATTTGTTCTTTAGGTATTATTGGTCTATCATCTACATACCAATCATTCCAATATCGTATCATTCTCATCTTTTTTTCCATAATCATTGTTAGACATAATCTATTCATCAATGTATAATAATAATATAATGAATATATTTGTTACTAAACTATTAATCAAAAGTATTATTATTTTAAATTGAAAAATAACATACCTAAATAAAATACCAGTTATAAATATTTTATTTAATTCCATTGGAGATAAATTAATAAATCTACTGAATGAGAAAATATTTCCGTGTAAACCGTTTTGATTTTCCCCGTGAAGTGAATTGTGAATATATGCGGTAGCAAATATAAATAATTTATTATACAATAAATGATTTTTTGATGGTAAAGCAAGATGTAACAGTCCTTCTGTATACAATAATGCTGGCATTTCAAAAGACTGTGTATTCATAAAAAACGGAGATTTAGCATCTCTACGTTCAAAAAGTTCAGGATGATTACAGACCTAAAACATATTTTAATAAGATTTTCATTTAATTTTTATGATATAAACCTTTCACACACACACACACACACACACACAAGCCAAAGCGATTAACAGTGAGTCACTTGTATATATACAATTATCAGTGTACCTACTTTACGGAATTGCATGACTAGATTCATTAGATTGGAAGTAAAATTTTTATCATTTGGAGCTGTATCACCGCCACCAACTGTATAATGAAGTAAATCCTCAATACGAATTTTCTTCTTCAATGCTGTATAAATTAGAAATAATATATTATTATAAAGTGGATTTACATAAAATAATATAAAAACTTAAACACACACACACACACATACCTGAATAAAGTAATTTCTGACGAGTCGTTAAAGGGCAATATACCATTACTTCTATTTTATCAGATAACTCATTTTCAACATCCTTTTTAATTCTTCGTAACATAAAGGGCTTTAAGATCATGTGTAATCTCGATAAATGTTCTGATTAATAAAAATGTAAAAAGAAATTCATTATTAAACATCAATTACAAATATTAATAATCATTAAAAAAGTAATTGGATATTAAGATAACAGCTTACTTTCATCAATTCCAGTTTTATTTTCTGCATGACTTTCGATGTCTTTAGAAAACCATTCGTTAAATTCGTCATGAGAATCAAATAAAGTTGGCATTATAAAATGTAATAAAGCCCATAATTCAGCCATACTATTTTGTATAGGTGTACCACTTAATAATAATCTATTACGACAACTAAAACCAAGTAATAATTTCCACCTCATACTGCAAAAGAAATATACATACAGTATAATAAATTGTTAAGTTTTATTCATTTGTTTTATACTTTTTAAACATCTATAATTCACTATACCACATACCTGCTAGTGCTTTTTATTGCTTGTGCTTCATCTAGAATCATATACTGCCATTTTATTCTATTAAAATACTTATAATCAGTAATAACCAATTGATAACTTGTAATTACTACATGAAATGATGCTTCTTTTGTATGTAAATCTTTAGTATCCCAAAACTGTCTTAAAATTTTACGTTCCTGTGGATTTCCCCAATATGGTACCACTTTAAAAACTGGTACAAATCTTGCCATTTCTTGTTGCCAATTATGCAAAGTAGAAGCCGGTGAAATAATCAAAAATGGACCCCATACAGCTGTAAATTATTATTATTATTAATTTATTTATAAATGAGAGAAAATGTACGATTTTTCACGTTTTTTTTTTTTTTTATATATATACTCACAATATCTTTCAGCAACGTGACACAAAAAAGCTATAGATTGAACAGTTTTACCTAATCCCATTTCATCAGCCAAAATTCCACTGATTCCCTGTAAAAGAAATTTTTTTATTAATTTAGAATTACTTTTAAATGTTTGAGATATACATAAAGAATTAAAAAAAAAAAACAAATGTTATGACAATATTTGTAAATCTTAACATGAAACAAACCTGATCGTATAAATTGGCTAACCAATTCATTCCTTTCAATTGATAACCTTTAAGATTTCCTTTAAAAATAGTAGGTTGAGGGTGCTCTAAATTTTCAGGTGTATCACTAAGCCGTAATTCTTGGGATGCAGCTGCTGTATCAAATTGTTTTGTTCTAGCTTTTTCACAATCAAATGCCTCAGTAGCATTTTTCTTTGCTTTTTGTTTCATAACTTCACTGTATTTTTAAATTAAAAAAAAAAATGAATAAATTATATATATATATATATTTCTGTTTGTAAAAATAATTATTAAATGATATATATATATATACCTATCATAGTCATCTATTCCAATAAGTCTAGGATTTTTTTCTTCATCTAATTGATTTAAAATTCTAAGTTGTTCTTCTGGAGAAGCTTTTCCTAATTTCCTTGACATAAAGTGAGCATAAAGTTCAGTTTGGGTAATAAGAAAATTTAATTTTCTTTGTTGACGCTTAGCCTGTTGCACAAAATAAATATTATTAATGATTTCATATTAAAACTAGACTAGACTAATCAATTATATTTATATATCACCTCTATTAGTTCAACATCCATTTTACGTTGTTCTTCTGCTTCTTTTTCTAATCTTCTTCTAGTTTCTCGTTCAACACGATCATATCGTTTCCAATAAGATTGCATTTCCCTTGTCAACCTTTTCGCTCTCCAAATAGTTTCTTTCATATTTTTTTGAGACTGTAAAATAATTCTACATAATATAACAATATAAAAAATAACAAATGTGTGCAACAACAAGATAAATGATATTTTACCTGCATTGCTTTTTGTCTCCAATGTTTCATGCAATGTTGAGCTACTTTTTTACAACTTATTAACATTTCTTTATGATTATTTATTTTTGCTCTTTGCACTTTTCCAAGCTCTTTTTTCGACATCATAATCCAAATTTTTCTTCTTCTAAGTGCCATTACCTCGGGACTTTTATTATTATGCTTTTTTCGTCCTCGTGGACGAGGCTGATGTCGCATTATTGCTTCCAAATCTGCTTCATCCAATTCTTCTTCTTTAGGAATTGTACGATCCCATTCTTCATCCATATAATCACCTTCCTAAATAATTTATAAATTATTATAGAATAAATAATTGAATAGAAGCTAGAACTAAATAATTCATGGATTGTACATACATGATAATTTTCAGATTGTCTATGTCGAGGAATTTTTTCTTTCTTTATCTTCATAACTTTTTTCTCTGGTTTTTTATCTTTCTTCTTTTTGTTACCAACTATTAATTTCTGATGTTCTAAAAATTTATCATAACTGGACAATAAACCGGCACTATAATATTGATATTGTATATTCTGAAATAAAGTAAATGAATTCACTGTCATCAATCCAGTATATTATATAATATTACTCATTTCAAATCTTACTTCAGGCTTTTGATAAAAACGTCCTTGATATTTTTTACGCAATATGTGGTATTTAAGCATTTCTTGAAAATCTTCTTCGGTGACAGGATTATCTGTATCAGAACCAGATGCTGAACTTTCTGAATCGCTCAACAATATATCTTGCAACCACCTTCTTTCTTCACCCACATTTGACATATTATACAGTCTTAATTTATTGATTCGTTCTTCTACAAACAACATGTTTTAAATTCAACATCAAATATTAAAATCATAAATTATATAGCAATTGTTTAAATTAAGTATACCTTCTTTCCGTGTCAATACATCATCAAGATAAGCATCTGATCCATCAGATGAATCAGAAGACATTGATTTGTCATCTTCGCTATAATAATAAAAAAGTAATATAGAATAATAAATATAACATTCTTATATTAGGCACCAATTAAAAAAATATATAATAATACCTAGCATGCTCTTGAAACAAATCATCAATTTGTCTTAAGAATGGCTGAACATTTAAGCTACGTTCTAATCTTTGCAAATGCAAGGGAGCAGCCATTTCAGCTTCTAGCTTCATTGTACTCGTTCTATCTGTCATTACCAATTCGTATAAAATCCAACGTTCTATGATAATAATACAACTTGTTAGAGATAATGAAATATTAATATTTCATACATTTCTTTCATAAAACTAAAACTATATGTGAATACATTTAGAAATTATACTTAGTTAAATAAATACATATATGAGAAATATTGTTAACCATTTATATAACACTAAATAAATTATATTTCTAAATTTGTTGAGAAGAAAGATATAGATAATAAAAATAGTGTGGTAATATAAATATTTTATCTAATTTGTATGCACATATACTTTTCTGTACAAACTCTATACAAATTTATTGTGGTTATTAAAATATATATATATATATAAAAATATATATAATATAAGTACTATTGATTATACTGCATCATAGCATTTTTGATAGCCGTAAAAAATATAGATAAGTTGTAGATTCATGTAGCAAAATAAGATTTCTTTTTTTCCGTTTTGCTTTAAGTGAAACAACAATGCGTTTACCCCTTACTGTATTGCCACAATGTTACACGTATTTTAGTAATTTCCTGTAATGGACAGAACATATTAAAAGCGTATAGTTTACGCACATGAGATCGTATATCGCTAATTTCATTATATAAGGCGAATGACATGACGAATCGCATAGATGCGGTTATAATTTTGCGAAATATTCGATAGTTTTGGATCACCTTCTGTTTGGTTAGAAGAGCTTCGTTTATTTCACACGTGATATAGAATCAACAGCAAGGTAATGATTCCCCTTCTTCACATTAAAATTGGATATATTGGTTGAAGGGAAATGCATAATAGAAAGAAGCCTAGAGAACGCAGACATTTGCCGTGCCATAAAACCAGGGCAGGGATAGGGCATATTGTTAGCCACCATTTTTGTTTTCAGTAGATGGCGCTAATTTAATCGACATGTCGGTGATTCTTGAGCCATAGACAAGCTGCAATACAGATTTGGTAAAAATGCCATAGAAGCTTTTTTCCAAAGTTACATTTTTTATCATTTATCATATACTTTCATATGAAAGTTGATGATCGTTTGCAATATTGATAATATATAATTCTCTTTTATTAAATATACTAGAACTTCACTATGAAACGATCTTTCGAGAAACGTGTGGTATACCTTACCGACCTCTATAGCCATCTTTTTTATACTTGAGCGGCAATACTCTTCATTATCATATTTCAACATCTTTTCTTCTTCAACGTTATAAGCTTTATTAAACTTTATTAATAATATGATTGAAAAGTATTGGAGATATTTCTTTTTTAAATATTGTCTTATTTTTATTGAATTTTCATAATAAAATCATTTTCATTTCATTCCAAACTTTCTGTAGGTTGAATTTCGCGCCAATTTCGTACTACGTATGTTCTATAAGATTAAATATATTTCCTTAATCTTATACGATAAAAAATTATATTTCTTTCCTCATACTTCGTGTAATAAAATAATAATAATGAATAAAATAAATAATATATACACATATATATGCATTATTAAGTAATGGCAAATAAATTAATCTCTTCCAATAGGAAGAAAGCATATTCAGTCATATGGTGCAGTACCAAAGTCGAAAAATAATTAAATAAAAGATGTCATAATTTTACATACAATATTCAATTTCATAATAAATAATAATAAAATACATTATTATTTTTCGATTAATTTATCATTATACTTGAATATCAAGATGTAAAGATAGTGTTAATTATAAAGTTAACCGGATGTACGCGTCTGTCATCGAGGCTAAAAATTGGGTGTAGCTTCGTTGTCCGTCGTGAGAACCCCGTTTTGTTTCCGTTACAACGTATCCTATCGCATCAGACGCCGATCATTACTTCTTCCAGTGATTTCACTATAGTTGCATCGTTAGATCTTATTGAGATCCGTGTTAAAAACCTATAGTTCATTCCATTAATATACAAGTAAGTTAATAAATATTTATTTTTTGCTAAACATTTAATATAACAAATTAATAAAATAGGCGATTCGTATTAATTATTTCGACCTTATGCTCGTCAATATACATTACAGCTATTACTAGTCTTGTCTATTCTGTATTGCTATTTCCAATAATTTTATCTATTAATCATCGTAGAAGTATATTTTTTTTGTTAAATATGGTTACAATTTTTGTTGGTTAGGATTGAAGTTTAATTTCTTTTAATTATTTGATATTTTATTAAATAATGCGCGATAAAATTGTTTCTTTTTATTTTGTTATCTTTTATTATCGTAGATGTTTCTTTAATGGCAGTGATTGTAGTAAATTTAATTCTAAGACGCAATTAATATTTTGTTTACTCTTTCTGCAATTTTTCTACACTTGATCATTATTTGTAACCATTTTAGTATAATGTTTTTTTTTTTTTTTTTTTTAATGTATACTTATGATATCGCTTTTATCTATATATTACATAGAGATACATATGCGTATATCAATTCTAGTATTGAAGAAAGAGAAACGTTGTATATGTACAGTTACGTTGAAAGTACTACACTACTATTACTGCATACGTTAACTTGATTAACGGTGCTTGCGTTCTCCCGCCTAATCTTTTTTTCATCGACCATTTTGAACAATATATCAAACAAGAGTGTATAAGTAAACAATGATCGAGCATCTAAGTACTGAAACATTATTTACTTTAATACTCGATAAAAAAAAAAATATTTGCTCATCAATATGCTGAGTATTGAGGAATGCGATTATACATAATAAAATAGCACATACATAACATGTTTATTTGAAAACTGATATAAAAAATGATTTTATACGTATATATTTGTATCATCATATATACATTGCTTTGTGAATAACTTTTCTGTAGTTGTGTCTGTACTTCTTTAGTGTAACAAGTTTGTGCTTGTGTAAAGCAAACAGGACTATGTTTGTTAAGTGAGAGACCTGTTCGACAAATTCAGTAAGGTAGGATACTGAAATAAGAAATTGGGGTGCTTAATTTTTAAAAGCATCATATGAAAATAACAGTTTTTTTTACACTTCTCAGTTAGAAGAAAATTATTAATTAAAAAAGAAAAAGAAAAGAAAAAAAAAGAAAGAGATATTTTTACAGTCTTTGTATTGTCATATGAATAAATAGCAGGTTTTTAAAGAAGCCTGTTATGTATGGTGTTTTTATATTTTCCTTTAAGAATGAGCACCCGAGTATTCGTTGGTGGATTAACATACCGGGTGAGAGAGCGCGACCTTGAGAAGTTCTTCCGGAAATATGGTAGAATCAAGGAGGTCGCTATGAAGAATGGATTTGCCTTTGTGGTAAGTCTAATGAGGTACAATTGTTTTTTTTACAGTATGGTAGGGACAAGAGTCTATGTTGGAGGACTTCCATACGGTACCAGGGAAAGAGACCTTGAGAGATTTTTCAGAGGCTACGGTCGTTTCCGGGATGTCCTAATCAAGAATGGTTACGGTTTTGTTGTAAGTACACACATCAAGTAAAACATAGAAATTCTTGCACTTTGTTGCTCAGTTTGGTCCAAATAATAAAATTTGTGTTATAAAAAAAAAAAAAAAAAACATAAAACAATACATAATTATACAATTTCATTTGATTCGTTTTTATTTTCTAATATTTAACATTTCAAATATATACTATATTTACTTTGGTCAATATATATATATATATATATATAACAATTAAATAGTATTTGTATTGATTTATTTTCTTATTAATGTTTTATTATGAGTTTGTATAATTTTCTGGACCAAAAAGAGTCTAATGTGTTAAGTTATAATTATAACTCAGTTGTCTGAGTTGATGAGACCTGACCTGAGTCCCGAGCACTGCACTATGGCTGTTTAGTGGAGTGGAAGACTTTTCGTCGATTATTCTGCAAAGAGTTTGTAAGTTATGGATAGAAAGAAGAAGAAGAAGCGAAAAATAAGCTCAACTTTTACAAATTTTTTATAATAGTAATTTCAAATTTAAAGTAATTCTAATAGTTAGAATTTGAATTTGAACATTATAGAATTATATATCTATCTATCTATATATATATATATAAAATACGGATGTAAATAATGTTCTCGTTTATTTTAATTTCAAATAATGAATTATATTACTATTATTTTAATTTCACTAAATTATACAATCTTAAAATGGAGGATACGTTGTATTATTAGTTGTTATCAATAAATATAACCTGTTCACAGGAATTTGACGATTACCGGGATGCCGATGATGCTGTATATGAACTAAATGGAAAAGAGCTGTTAGGAGAAAGGTAATAGACTCATCATAGTCATTTTTTATTTTTATTTTTTTTTTTTTTTTTTTTTTTAATGAATGTATTTAAAACAAGCACGATGAATAATTTAAATCAATTATAATTTAGAGATAAAGGTGACAATTTGCACGAGTGAATTGTTTATTAATATCATTTCTTTTTTTTTTCCTTTAACATAATTTTTGAACAAATTTTTTCAAACTAATTATATCAATAATACAGTTTGAATATTCTTTAAAGATTTTTCAATTGTTAAACTATTAATCATTGATTTATTACATTCTTATTAAATTTATCATAATCAATATTATTTAAATTATATCTTATTATATTTCTGATAATATATGTATTTTCTATATGTATAATATATATATATATAACTACACCATTAGTAGTATTTTGAAAATAATACATATATATATATGTAAATTTGTAGTAATTATCAATATTTTCAATAACACTTCTTCAAAAGTTGCTCTTTTATTTAAATTAGTACATTATTATGCTAATGTTGTAGTTACAAGATAGATAAATTTTATGTTAAGAAGCAATGGCATTAAATGATAAAAATATAAGTTAATTTGAAAATTGTCTTAATAATTATATTATAATATTTCATATAAAAATAATATATATATATATATATGCTATTGGTTCTTCATAATGCTCTAAATCTAGATATATAATTGTAATTGTTTTGTCTCATTGGACGATTTTTTGCTTGTAAGCTTACGTCTTTAGTAAACGGCGTCTGTCCTCCAACTTATTAATTGGATTTATTCCATAATAAGAGTGCATCTTAAAAGCCGATGTGTTTTTGCCGCCATTTTGAAAAACTTCCATCAATTCCCCGATTATAAAGTTCTTCCTACATGCATCAGCCTTTGAGTAATGCATATCGCATGATTTGATAGAACAGACGAAAATATAGATTAATGCTTTTTCATAATTTCTTTGTGATCCTGCAAAAAACAATGGTGTTTGGAAAAAAAAAAAAAAAAAAAGAACAGTTCGAGGATTTGAGTATAAAGTTATGGTCAATGGGGATCACGAATAATTACGAGAAAGCCTTTTATAATTAAAAAAAAAAAAAAATAAAGAATTTAGATCGGCCGTAAGTTGTATTAGAAGAAAAAGCAGTTAGATTATAGGGGGACGAAGAGAGAAACGTGAAAGGGGACAGCGCCTCAGAGACTGGACGATAGAGAAAGAAAAGGGGAAAGGTGGATTATAATTGAACGGATTTCGAAAGAAGGCTGAGGAATGGAAAGAAAAGGAAAGAAGGAAGGAAGGAAGGAAGCAGCCTTAGAGTAAGAATTAGTTGAGGACTTAGGCGGGGTTTTGTTGGGTGTGTTTCAGAGTGGCGGTGGAGATAGCACGGGGTGTTTCAGGGAGGCGAGGCGACCGTGGCTACGGACGCTCACGCTCCTGGAGAGACAAGTAAGCATATCCAATGTGTCTTGTTACAGAATTACTGTAGAGAGGGCCCGGGGGACACCTAGGGGTAGTGACCAGTGGCGCTATGGTGACTCCCGTGGTGGTTATGGGGACTCGAGGCGATCTGCGTAAGACACGCTATCCTTTTTTTTATTTTATCAGAGCGATCATAATCCCCTCCTCCCCTGCAGGCAGTCAACTCAAAATGTGCGAAATCACTTGAGAGAGAAGCCTTCAAACCTTGGCTTTTTCTTTTTATTTTTTTTTTTGTTTTGTTTTTTTGTTTTTTTGAATACATTGACATTTTTTTTCCTTCTATATATATATACATATTTATATATTTATATTCGTATATAACAAATCTTTCTTTTTATTTGTTCATTTTTTCCAAGCTTTTACTTTTTTTTCACTGACTAACAAATACGAACGATTTCGCACATCGCCCGTACAGGGAAGAACGTAACCTTGGATATGATAAGCTCAAATTTAGAGAGCATAGAGACAATTATTGACGCGTTATTACTTAAAGTTGTTACATTTTTTGCTTATTTAAAAAAAAAAAAAAAAAAAAGAAAAGAAAAAGAAAAAAATAATATTCCTTTTAAATTTTAAAATTAAAGTTCTTTTAATCAATAACTTCAATTTTTCTTAATCGGTTGTCTTGGATTTGACTGCTCTCCCGAGTACGTCGAATAATCGCTTTGATGCTAGTGTGCACACGTAATATAGCATAATGCCTAGTGATATCCTCCCAGACATTATGTTTATTGCTCTTAGATAAAGAAGAGAATTAGAGAGCGTGGGAAAGTAAGAAAGGGTAAGAATGATAATATGAATGAATGAGAAAAGTAAAATAAAGTAATAACAAATTGATAGATAACGAACGATTAAGTTGGACAAAAGGTTGAGGAAAAATGTGTAGTTGTATGTAGTGTTGTGTGTATTTATGCATGTTGTATGTATTTATGTATGTTGTATGATTAATAAATGTATGTACGTATGTATGTATGTATGTTTGTATGTATGTTTGTTGTATGCGATTGAGTTGTGTGAAGTGAACGAGATAAAAAGAAAAGAATGCGTAAGTCAGAGACGGATGAAAGAATATAATTGGCGACTAATAGATGTGTGGTATTGTGTTTGTTACAGCCGAGACGATATGCGGCACGACAGGTACGCTATTGCTGCATTTTGAGTAGATTTGATTCGATTGGAACAGGTGATTGATTGTGTGCCTGAGCAATGAGTGCCAATATGTAGTTATTTGCTGAAGGTTTTAACATCGATCCGTTATTTCTGTTCACATAAGATCCCTTTTTGCAGAGATAGTGTGAACAGAAACACGAGGACTGCATCTAGCTACAAGCAATCATTGCCCAGGTACATACATCCAATGTTACGCTCTAAAGATACATCTTTATTTATTCAATTTTTATTGTAATATTGCATTATTCGTCATTCTTGCGTTTTTCGTTAAATTTTTCGCTATATTAACGTAAAGTCAGGTCCAAGACAAACCTGCTTAGTTTAAAAGAGTCATACAGATAATACCAATTTATTTTACTTTTTTAGATACGGACCACCAACACGCACTGAATATCGTCTCACCGTTGAGAATCTATCAAGTCGTGTCAGTTGGCAGGTAAGCTATAAATTTACAATTTTCATATTTATAAATACTTCAATGTGAGTTTGATTGCTACTCGAGGTTCCAGATAGAGCAGTGCACCTGATGTATTCATTATATCATAACACAACGCTCTGTACTTTGTATCCCGAGTCGAACCAAACTTACTTTATGCATTTAGTATTAATATTTTTATATTTGCTTTTCTTTTATCGCTTTTAAGTTCGATTACACATGAAAGAACTCTCTCGTATTCAAAGATGTACATTTTGATCAAGTAAGTCTATGGCATTCAAAATGAGATCTTTTAGATATGGATGAACATTTCAACACAAGGCCCATACATTAATACAAAAAAAAAAAAAAATAAAAAAAGAAAAAAAAAAATACACGCAAAAGTTTCATCAAGCATAGATACATGAGGGAACTACAAGAAAAAAAGGGAAAAGAAGATTATTTTTTATGATGAGGAACAACATCATTACGTAGAGATGATTGATGGAAGAACATACATTTTATAAATAGAGAAACACTTGGAGGATCATATAACTCACGCATCGTAGATGTTCTGTGCTGTCTTTGCACGAAGAAACAAGGCTAAGGAAAATCAAATGAAGAAGAAGACACTCGTATATGTTGCCAAGGGCAGTATGCAAAGTGTGCAAGCGATGTGGGAAATACCAGGACGCATTCAAGATGTTGCAAAACTATAAACCAGGACAAATGTTATTCAAGGAAATCTTGGGAGACGAGCAAAAAGACATCATTTTGCGTATTTATATATGGACCAAGTCTTACTTGATCAATTTACATTACATAAAATATACGTCATTGTTACACTTTCCGGATGATTGGTTTTTACTGAAAAAAAAAAAAAATATATATATATATATATATATACATATATAAGAAAAATTTCTCGATCAGTCACAGTCGGTTTTTGATAACTCTCTCGGACGTTACTTTTTCAATTTATTATTTTATTTACGTTCGGCCAGCAGTTGAGAAAAACAATAAAATTGATCTTCTTTCCGAAGAGCCATATCCTCTTCGCCGAGGAGGGGCGACCGGTAGGGCCAATAGACTGATGTGCGATGATAGAGATGACGATGGGCCCGCCTTGAGGTCAAGTGACACCAGATTGGTTTCTGAGGTGTGTCCCGGGTGAGAGAGAGAGCCGCGAGAGGCACTGGGTACACCTACTACCTATCTACCACCTACTACTACTTACGCACAGTGATACGTGGTGAAACCCAGTGATACGCCCCAGTGATAGATTCTCTAACATACTTCGATCCTTTCATCATAACCACTGGGGGAGCGTCCGTTCGTCCGTCTGCAAGCACGAAAATGCCTTTTGACCTACTTCTATATGATGGAAAATAATTGTTTTACTCTTCAATATTTTCTTATTACTATCTTTATCATCGACGAGTCATGATTTTATCCTATAATACAAAACCGACATTATTACTTATTACTATTACTACCACCACCACCACCACCAACAACATTACTACTACTACTACTACTCCCATCCAACATCATCATCGTCATCACCATTACCACTGGTACTACTCTTCTACGACTGTTACTACTACTGGTACGGCACCAATCTAGCCATCTCGTAAGTCAGGCAGCGGCCACCCATGAGAGGGCATACATGCGGGCCGAAACCCGAACCAACCGCGACTGCGCCACACAGATCCGTTCGACCCAACCAAGCGCCCTGCGTCTGGCCTTTCTCTCTGTCCGTAAGCAAGGTGGTGCCTGGGCCCAAGGTAAATGCGTCACCTTAAACGAGTGTAATCTTCTTAGATATATATCTATTATATCTATATACACTTACACATGGTAATGATTATTATTCATATACATTGTCTCATTAAATTTTTTTACTGTGCACCATAGTTCAGTACCGCTATCGGTATATATCATGTATATGCATATATATTTATATATATATAAGAATATACACATTTATGCATATCTACATAGATGTATCCATTGATAGTTTTTGGAATTTGGAGGCCTGCACAAGCAAAAGAGACCAGGAGACTATAGTTATGACATTACTGTGCTCGAAATTAGGCATCCATTCGTTATAGAATAAAAAAAAAACGTGTTCCTTACATTCATTTTTTTCACTCACTCATTCACTCTCTCTCTCTCTCTCTCTCTCTTAATTTGTTTGTTTGTTTTTTTTTTTTTCTTCTTTTGATAGTATATATTTAAATATTCCTAATAATCATATAAAATATTATTATACGTTAGTTTTGTTCTTCGAATTCTGAATCAATTGTGTTAAATTTTCACTTAAATAATTATCAACTTTTCTTTATGCAAGACAATTTAATTACATGGTTGTTTCTTTCTTTCTTTTTTTTTCTTTTTTTTTTTTTTCTTAAATATAAATACGAATAAAAAATTTCAGAAAGGAAAATATCATAAAATGGAGGAAGGATTGGTAAAATAATCTCTCATTAACATTGCTCTGTCTTCCATTTGTACGAAGAGGTATGATGTCATTGAAAAATAGAAGCTACCAAGGATCCAAGGATACACACAAGGAAGGAAGGAAGGAAGGACCTTTAGTAAGAAACAAATGAAAGTTTACCGGTGGTCAAGAGTTATTTACAGCATTAAGCCGTACCTGGTTCCCACATATTATGAACAAGCAAGCACAGATATCGATGAGTTACCTGATGAGAAGATTCTACTAATATTTTTTATGAATGTCTCTAAAGAAATGACTACAGGAATTACGAATTAATGAAAGAGGGAAGTTTTTCAATGGATGAAAGTGTGCTGCTGCCATCATGTAACACATTCACCAAGAGAATTATCAATGAAGGTTGACCTTTTCAAAAGAACGATACTTGGAACTTCAGAGTCTCTACGTTTTTGGACGATGTTCATCGATGTAAAAAGATTACTTCCACAGTGTTCATAATTATCTTTCCATCATGAAACATTATTTTTTATTTTGCGATATAATATAGACTTATCAGCGATGCGGTGGATTTTCTTTTTAATAAGTTTCTTTTTCTTTTAAATATTATTTTTTGTTATTGTAATATTTCATTTTCATATTTTTAGCGTATTCTTCTATTGTTTTTAATCATTTCCCAAAGCAGTATTTCGTGAATAAACAATTAGTGATGCTTTATCTTTAAGTTTTGATTTGTACATTTCACAGATCAGTTTTTACTTTTTTTTTTTTTATATATATATAGTAGATATAGATTCTGCAGCATCATATTTATCATTAGAAAGAAAAACTACAGTAATTTATTATTATGTACGATCAAATGTGAGCCACTTTACAGAAATTTGTAAATAGAGTATATAATATATAAATATATATAACTCAAAAGTAAAAAGTTTCTTTTTTTTTTTTAGAAAGATAAAGAAATGTTTTCTGTAAAGTGGAGAGAAGTTTATTTATAAACTATAAAACAATAATATAATGTATAAAGCATTGAATTGCATAAAAAGAAAGGTTGGATCAAATGTAGATACTAAATTCGAGCACGTGATATTTAATATTATCATCATATATGTGAAAAATACAGATAGATTGTAGGTTGTGATATATTATTTTATTTCCTTTAGGATTATATTTAGGTTGCCTTTATATACGGGAAAGATCTCTAATAGGATCATAATGTAAGAGTGTGCACAGGATACAGTTTAATCTTTGCGATAAATCAACCTAGGAACACATTCTAGTAAAGTTTAATCGCAATTATTATTTGTTGAATAAATTTGGCACTAGTATTTCATTATATTACGATATATGTTAATTATATTTTTTTATGTAATATTTAGGATTTGAAGGATTACATGCGACAAGCTGGAGAAGTGACCTACGCAGATGCACACAAACAACGTAGAAATGAAGGGTAATGATTACTAATTCTATTATTATGATTATATTATATACATTCAATGTTTATTTTAAATTTAGAATTAAATATTGCTAAAATGTAGATTTTTTATTACAGAGTTGTAGAATTTGCAACATACTCGGACCTGAAAAACGCTATAGACAAGCTAGATGATACAGAATTGAACGGACGTAGAATCAGACTTATTGAAGACAAAAGACGCGGTCGTCGTTCAAGATCATCAAGTTCAAGATCCAGATCACGGTCACGCTCTCGATCTCGTCGTCGTTCCCGCTCCCGCTCAAGGTATAATCGTCGTTCTCGATCCCGATCAAGGTACTGTCGAGGGCGATTGAAATTTATTCATTTATTTATTTTTTTTTTTTCATATTACATATATTTTTGTCAACACATTACAATCTTAATGAATTATAACATGTATATCATTTCTATTCTTTATTTAACCGTTTGCGTACTTTTATTTAATGGTCGTCGTCCATGGTATTTAAATGGTTAATTTCAATCTATTTATATTCTACATAATATAGATAGATTTATTTGTTTATGTATGAGCCATCCATTTGCAGAATTATCACCACAAAATAAAAAGTAGACAAAGTTTTAAACAAAATTATATACAATTGAATAATTTGATACTAAAATTTTGAAAAGTTTTAAAAGTAAAATTGAAATTATTTTAGATTGTAAATGGCTCGCTCACACATATACAAATAATAATCCTAAGAAGTGTCATGTAATTTCTTTTCATATTAACAACATATATTGTATAAAAAAAGAAAAAAAGAATCTTTTCTTTAATTAGAGACTTATTTTATTTTTTGCTTATCAGGAGCCGCAGAAGCTCTCGTAGTCGCAGCCGACGCAGCAGTCGTTCAAAGTCACGTGCACATTCAAAATCTAAATCTAAATCCAAATCCAAATCCCCTGAACGTAGTCGCTCACGCTCAAAGTCAAAGTGAGTATCATCATATATTAATTATTATTTCTTCTTTTTAACATTTAGATGTGATAATTAAAATTTTGGTCAAATCTAATAATCGCGTGTCGTGTGTCATTCGTTCAAAGTTGTCTTTGGTTATTTATTATATTTCATTTCTTGCGTACTAGTCAATAAACTTCATATATACACCCATTTTGATATTGGCAGTGCTTTGGGCTGGGTACATGCCTTGAGCTCTCATGCTTGTTCACATAATGCGCATCAATCATCATGCGCAAAGCTTGGAGAAAGAGTTTCTTTGTATTTCATTATTAAGTTTTTCTTTTCTTTATTTGAACTATAATTTTACAGATCAAGAGACCGCTCAAAGTCGAAATCTAAGTCAAAGTCCAAATCCAGATCTCGTTCTAGGTCCAAGGCTGAGAGGTCAAAATCCAGGTCGCAGTCCAAATCAAAAGCCAAGTCTCCCTCAAAGTGAGTCCTTCTCGCTAAATTGAATTTTGCATTTCCGTGTCCTTCTCATTTTGTTAATCTCTCTTATGAGCTAGCTAATAAATAAATCAACGGATTAAAAAATATGATTGATGTGACATAGAAGTGCAAATAATTCAATTATTAGATGTTGTACAGTAGCGCAAGAAATACAAATTTTATGTTTTAGTTCAATGTTTCGATGAAATATTGCGTTTCAAAGTAAACAAAGAATTGTTTTGGTTTATTTATTTTTAATTATATTATTATTATTATTATTATTATTATTACTTTATAGGGATAGATCCAGCCGCGAACGATCAAGAGGCGACAGATCCCGATCTCGATCAGGAAGCAAACACAGCAAAAGTCACAGTCCATCCCATTCGCCTATGAATGGAGATAAATCGCCAGAAAACAACAAGCAAAAAGCTGACTGAATGACGAGTAAAAGATTTTTAAATGGACACTTAATGTCAATATTTCATTAATTTTCTGGTTCTTTTTTTTTTTCTTTCTTTCTTTATTTCCTTTTTTTTTTCCTTTTATAATTTCTATTGATTCATATTCAAGAAGCCGATTTGATTTTCATTAATAGAGAATACACAGACTTTTCATGGTGTTTAATCATCGTGCACGACGAAAAAAATGTGTCTTATACATTTTTCGACAAAAAAAGAAACTAAAAATGCATTAAGCATTGCCTGCTGCCTACTACATGATGATTGGCTTGAAAATAATTGTTATATTTAATTAAACCAATTTAGAGTCTTATATTGGTTCTATTAATTATATATTACAAGAAAACATTTTATAAGCCATCTCTAATAAGTATGTAGGAAATTAAGGTTTCTTTGTACCTTAAACGGTCTCTACACATTTTGGATGTAACACCGTATACATAACATAGAGGGAACCCCTTATAATGGCTTTTTGTATATATTCTTAAGAGTTACTTTACACTAAGGAGATAATAATATGACGTGTATTAAATTTTAGAAATAAGAAACATCGGATTATCAATAAAGCACTTGTGTCAATCCATTTTTTTAAATATTCTCGCAAGTGTTCCCTTGTGTTTCTTCAACTTTGAATGTAGTTTGGTTTCAATGTAAAATAACTAAATAAAATAATATTCTTTTATTCTGTCAATGTATTCTATTTGTATCCTCTATTAATAATTATCTCACATTTTTTTCGTTAAATTCCAAACTAAATCAATTTTGAATACATATATATATAAAATAAAGTTATGTATAAAGTATAATAATAAAATTAAAATAAAAATTGAACGTAACTCTTAAATTTAAATAATTATAATACACAATAATTTCATCGATTGAAAATAATTATTGTTATGTAAATTTACAAGTATTTACCTTAATCTATTGAAAAATACAAACGTGTCTAAATATATTTATGTATACACGTTTAAAAGTATTTCGAAAAGAAACTAATTACAAAAATATGTTTATTTCACTGTTATTCGTGTTAGTGTAGTGTTATAATCTACATGAATTTTTGTGAACCAAGATATCCGTAGAGTCTGCCACATGACGCGCAGCTGGAACGATGACGATGCGGTGAGTCATCCCAAGCCATCAACCCTCATCTTCTGAAATCCCCCTGTATACCACAAATAGTAACAACGGTTCTCTCATGCCCTTAGCAACGAGAAGTTAAATCTAGCGAAAAAGAGTGGTAATGAATGCGCATACTAACCCTTAGATGCTGCAATAATATTCTGAGGTATCAAGTTATTTACCAAATTTTTCTTATATCAATTTTTTATTTTATTAATACGTAGTTATGAATAATAACATAGTAAAATATAATAAAAATTGTAATACTTGTTAGCAAGTTTTAATAGTAAATGTTAATATTATAATTAAAGTCGCGATAGGTGATTTAAATCTACTGAAAATTGAATTATTGCATTTTAATAATTTAAATATACTATAATATATACATATATATATATATATTTATCAAAATAATAAAATATATGTGTAAAAAAAAATCATTAAAAAAAAAAAAAGAAAAGGATTACAATGAAATAAAAAACAAATCGTAATGTGTCATCTATTTTTGTAAAATAAAGAATATTTGGATGTTAAATGATCTAAATGTGTCTACGTGAAACTAAGGTAATTAATAGTTACTAATTTAGCCACAATAGCAGCACCAGTTTAGGTAGAGCGAAGGAGTCAGCTTCGTAGACGATCGTTGATTGGCTCGTAAGTGAGAAGTGGGGATACGGGGCCCGCAGGAGTGGTGGAAGTTTTCTCTCCTCAACCGCTGTACCTGATTGCGTGGCGTCACGCAGAAACACTAACGGATCGGTCGGCGTGCCGTTTAGTTCCTGTCCTTACAATTTCATCTGGCTTTCGTGTATTCTCCTACTCCGTCTCAAGTCGTAGCAGTGACAATCGAAGACGTCAGGTCAGTGATCCCTTCTGCTCCTCATATTCATTGTTATAATTGTATACAACTCAACACAGTCCTTTAAACATTTTAGCAGCTCGAGCCGGCACATTTAAAAGTACATTAAATTTATTACACCGAAGTAAAGTAATTACTTTATAACGATTACTATACTTTTATTACACCCTTTTTTTTTTTTTTTTTACATGAAATTTTTTTCTTCAAATACCGATTTAAATTATTTATGATTAAAGGGCGAAGATTTACAGAGATAGAAAGAACGTAAGAAAGAGAAAGAGAAATAAAAGGGGTGTGGTCGATGTCATTTAAAATCAACTTCTAAGTTAGAAGGTTCGTTTTGAAGTTAACAATTCGACTCCTACGAATTATTTGTAAATTGATTTCATTCGATTTTTTTTAATTATAATTTGTACTTTTAACAAATTATCAGATAAAGATGTTCAATTGCGAAAGGGCGTGGTTTTGACAGATGTATATACGAATACCTATCAAACATATCAATTTGTTTTTTCGTTGATGTATATTTAAATTATACGTCACTTATCAATAACTATTTACTAACTTCTTTTATTTTCTCATCTTTTTCAAATTTCAATTCCGTATACGTTTCTCAACTTACAAAGGTATATTCTGTTACCAAGGTAACGATCCTATACAATAGGAAATTATCCTGTTTTTTTTCTTTTTTTAAATTTCAAATGAATTCCTTTCGAGCTACTGTCAAACGGAACGGAATGATAAATATAGTCGAATATATTTCGAGGTCGCTGCGTTAACCGTGACCATGAAAAGGGAGCTCGCGAGTAGATATACAAGGTGTCTCATTACATGGAAACATTGTTCAAATTATTAATAATTCACAAAATATTTCGATAATTGTCAATGAATTTTTAAAAATTTAAAAAAAAAAAAAATCGTACCAAAATTAAAAAAAAAATAATTTTTTCATTTCAGTTCACATATAAAATTCAGATGATATTTCTATCTAACAAGGATTTGATGACACCCTGTACATACACAAATACATATATATATTTACTTGAGGGAGTTATATATATATATATAGATATGTCGAAATGAAGTCGACGAACCCCACCACTCGAATCACCCTATGCCAATCGATGAATCCGTCTGCATCGTGTCGTTGGCCCCCCTCTCAAAGCAACCACCTCCCCTCCCCCACATCGAAATTCTATCCAAGCGCGCTTTCAATTCTATTTTAACGATCTTTAGGGTAGTTATAAGAAAAGGACTAAATTAAATTTAGATATCTATCTTTATATGTGTATATGTCTGTATATATATATATATATATATATATATATATATATCATTTTTAGTTAATGAATCATGCCAAATTCTCATAGCTAGATACGTACCTGAGCTTTCGCAGAACCGTTCGATATGGCGCGCGTGCGCGCACTCCAGGGTTCGTTAGCCGTCACGGTCGCGCACGAAAGAGAGAAAGAACATTAACGTTTCGTCTCTCGTTTTATATGCAACGAAGATTCTTACAGATATATGTATGTATATACGTACATCCTGCATGTGTGTATATGTATATTTCTCTCTTTTTCTTTCCTTTCTTTATACACATAGAAATGTGTATGTATGTATGTGTGTGCATCGGTTAAATTTGTGTAGGTGCATGCTTCACCCACCGGTCGATACGCGTATGTATGTAGATAACTATATATATATATATATATGTGTGTATATACTTACCTAAGTACAGAACGCTTCAAGCGAACTCTAAATTCACTTCATTATCCTTTTTTTTTTTTCATTCATTTATGACATCAAAGGACTTAGGGTTTCCCATATTTTTTTTTTATTTTTTTATCGAAATATATTATACATCATTAAATTAATAATTTATTATAATTTAAAATTTGCGATGTACTACCTTTATTTGAATTTTTATTTGTTAATTTAATAATTCGTTTGTGTGTAAAAAAAGATAAAAATACAGTAGCCACGCCCTGTTACTACAAACGACAATACGAAATGTATTGGTGAATTTATACTATATAGATATAATAACGTGACAAATCTTATAGATAACGTTAAGATTGAAAGATTTATATATTTTTATTTTTTTTTTTATTTTATTTCTTTATATAGATGTTTTTTTTTCTTTTTTTAATATTATGTCGGTTATATAAGAAATATTTTCAATCTCAAAAAAGGAAATATAGAATAACTAATGTGAAACGAGCTGTACTCACGCATTAAGACATATATATATATAACTTGATGTACGTCGAAAAAGTCCTGCGTAAATGCGATTACCCAAGTTAATTGGTTGCCGCGTAAACTGGTTGCTTGCTAGTTGTGTACAATTTCATTTACTTGGATGTACCTGCCATTTCCAAATATATATATATATATATATATATATATATATATATATATATATATATATATATATATATATCTTTTTTAATAACGAGTATTTTTTTTCAAGTCTTTTCGTTATTTATAAAAAAACAAAACTTGTTTTGATCAACTTTGCGAAATTCAGCAGCGCGTCGTCCATCTTTCTTTTTATTAACGCGAACGATTTTCAAAGTTTACACGTATTTATTATTTATTAAAATAATAATATATTAAATATTAACACTATAAAATAATATAATAATAATATAATAATATTAAAATAATAAAATTACTTTTTTTTTCGAACAGTTTGACGAGTCATCCATGATTCGATCGCATCCATGTTTCTTTCTGTTTAATTTTGAACAATAATGAAGATTGTTTTCAAACCTTTCGCGTACTCGTTATTTATATAAACAAATATTAATTATTTTTTTTTTTTTCAATCAATTCTAAAAGATATAGATACAAGTTTTATTAAACGACCTAACATATTTTATTTGTCGAATATGGAAGTAAAAAGAGATGCTGTGAGATTCAGTAAAGTGCGCAGTAGGCCGTTCATATTTAAGGATGAGGGTGATTCATTCGTTCAACCGAAGTAACGAGCGTCCTGCAAACCGGCATGGATTGTCGTTCCGTGCAACCTAGTTTCCTTATTAACTTGCCGCTCTCCTTTCCTCGCCAGATGCATTTGACCGAGAAAATTCGCGTGAACTTGCAGAATGATTTCTCCGGATCTTCATCAAATAATATCACCACCATCATCTCTTGTCGACATTTATTTAACGTTCGAGAAAACGAAGAAACTTGCTGTGTAATAACCATACGCTGATAAATCTTGTTAGAAAAGAAATATTTTATGTACGGTTCGAACATGATGAAAATATGATGATGTATATAAAATAATCATTTTATTATATTATTAGATATTTAATATAATTAAATAACATCTTATGTATTTTCAAAGTTTATAAATAACTCCGAAATGACTTGAACTTTCATTCGAAATGATTCAAAAAATTCTGTCCGTTCAAAACAAACATTAGTACAATTTTTCGTAACTACGGTTAAGGTCCCACTTCTTAAAATGGAATATACAAATTGTCACCATGTTGGAAAGAGTTCAAAAGTCATTCAATTAATTAATTGTTCAAATTATGAATAATATATTATTTTATTTTATTTTATTTTCAGAATGGACAGATAATTTTCCAATAGACTTTAATATTTATTTGTATCTACAGTTTTGAGAAATAATATTTGATATATTTAGAATTATTAACAAATTACAATATATATTTTTTTGTTATTTGATTAAATATAAATATTATATTTTTCGTACGAGAATAATATTGATTTTTTTTTCTTTTCTTTATTCATTCGGATACCGTAAGCAATCAAGATATCGCTTGTCTTTCTACGTCTTACCGTTACGTGCAACCAAGCATATATATATATATATATATCCATATCTCTACACATACGCACAATATTATTCCATACACTGTAAATTGTACCTTTAAATATATACATATCTATAGATTCAAGATACAGATACATACATACATACATACACGTTCATGTGACATCGCAACACCCACGTATATTTGGACAAATCTGTTATGATGCATATAACCAACCAACTGTATATATATATATGATGAATCATAAAAATAATCTTCTTACATTCTTTCAAATTGATCTACTTTATTTTTCGAAACATTCTGAAATCAATGTTAAAAATAAAATATTAACACTTTAATGGCCGCACCGTGCGTGTATACAGTCAAACGTCGTCAGGGGCGGGCCCGGTGTAATTTTTTTTTTTCAAGAATTCATTTAAACAAAACTTTATTGTCATTCACGAAAAAAACAATTTAACAACAACAAATTTAATTTTATATATAAAGTTATAAATATAATAACGGCCAATGTGTTTCGGCTAATTATACACATGTTGTGTGAGCGGCCATTAAAAAAGTATTAATGCCTTATTTAAGATTTTAATCTTATTTATTTTATTTAGAAAAACATGATCATTTTTATGAGTCATTCTAAAGGACGATAACGTCGTACTCTTGTCTCTCACATATTCTGCCTCTCTTTGATTCTCTCTCCTTTCTCTCTCTCTCTCTCTCTCTCTTTCTATCTATAAGAGGCATACAAGCGACTACCATATAAGGACCTATACAGTCTTGTCGATGCTGACCCACCGTTCGAGAGAACATATCCCTCGAAACTCTTTCTCGGTCTTCGAGGATCGTCTTTCGTACTCCTGATATTTACAACATGGCCTTGTTCAGAAGTTCTGTCACGAATATTCTATTTTAAACGGATACGAAGCCTCTTAAGAAACTTGTTTTTCTAAACTACACTCCAGTAACTTTACATAGTAACCGACTAAGAACGCGTGTACTCGCTTAGGTAATTTATATTCCGTTGATAAATACACATATATGTATAGCTATAATTATGACAATGGATTAAGTATACAAAATTTATTTTATATTAAATTTGTAACTGTAAATAATGTTGAATAATAATCGCCAATATGTGAACAAAATAATGTGTTTGTTTGTTTGTAAAAACTAAAAGATATTTATAAGTTTCAGAGAGACATTTTGGAAAATTTTGAGACATGGACAAAATACAGAACAAAAAAAAATATATATATATATGTAAAAATTGTACGCACCGTGATTTATACGAGTATTTACAACATTTTTCATTATTATTTTTGATAAAACAAAACTGCTAGAAAAATAAAAAAAAAAAACAAAAATGTTTATTGTCAAAGATGTGCATTTGTTGACTACGCTAGTCATTGCCTTATTTTAGCAACACGGTTAAGATGAAAATAATTTATATTATAAAATAAATCGTACAACAAATTTCGTTCATTTTTTGTACTTAATCTACTGTTATAATTAATAGTATATGTATGTGTTTGTGAGCTTGGATGCAACACATTATATGATCTCGTAATTATTTGATATATACAGAAGTTATCATGGAAGTTTCAGCTAACTTATATCATTTACATTAAATACAACATTTACAAAAAGAAATGTGTATTCTTTTGATATAAATGAAATATGTTTAAGTAAATATTTTTTAATCATTAGCAAGTAATTCAATATAATTTATTGTAATACGTAATTCAAAATTATACTGTATTTTATATCTGAATTTAATTACCAACCAATGTATTTTTAATTTTAATTTTACGATAAAATGTGGTTAGGAGAAACAGGTATTATCATTGAAGAAAACGGAATTTCTAAATTATGCAGGATAAAATGTTTAAAGTGATGAGAGGAAGTCTGAACAGGAAGTAGCAAGCCACTGCTATTTCCTGTTCGTAGCATATGTCTTCTTTTACAAGCTTATTATTAAATAAGAAATATACAAAAATAAATACAAACGAAATATATTTAATTCTATGATTTAAAAATTGATGATGTATATATATATATATATATATGTATTATATATTTAATTCCGTAATTTAGTTTCTTTTACGTGTAATTCTGACATAATTGTTGATATGATAGACCGACAAACAAAACTGATAGCCATGGATATGTAAACAAGAGTTTCATTAAATTATGATAAAGTTTAAAAAACAAAACGTACATGTGCATATAATTAAAAATGTTATTTTTAATTTGATAGAAATCATTTTGTTTACAAAATAAATAGATATGGAATATTTTGAAGAATGTAACATAGAAATTTGGACACTAAAATTTGTATTATTTTAACACGTTGATCGCAACGCAAATTCTTTACTCTCTCTCTCTCTCTTTCTCTTTAATTTTTATTAATTAAGTAATCATTATTATTTAATTTTTGTTTATTTTCAAGTAATTTTATTATATTATTTAGTTTTTATTATTAACACTAATGGCCGCTCCCACAACATGTGTGTAATAGCTGGAACAACCGTTATTTATTTATAACTTTTGATATATTTAAAATTATATAAAATTAAATTTGTTATTGTTCTTGTTTTTTTTTGTTTTTTTAATGTTAATTTTTTCGTGAATTTAATTTCAGTTTTTTTTTTTTAAATTAATTTTTCAAAAATATTATACCGGCCTCTTGTGACGTTTGACTGCGTATACGTGCGGCCATTAAAGTGTTAAGTAATTTATTATTATAGTAATAATAAGATATACAACAAATTCTGAACCATAACTCTTGATTTAAATTAAAGAGAAAAATAAATCACGAAAGTAATTTTATTCTTGCGTTGGTTGACCACAATGATCCCTTAATATAAAGTCATGAAATGTTGTCCTTCATTGAACTTGACGGAATTAATAAATGTAATAAACTCATAAAAATAATCTTCTACATCTTGATTGTAATTCTATTAAGTTCATATATCGATAGATCTATATAAATGATTTGTAATCATTTATTTAATTGTAAATCACGAACGATATTTATGTGTGATCGATCATATTTAGCATCGATTCAGCATTTTGTATGTTTATCAAAAAATAATATGAAGAAATCTTTTTTTACTGACACGTATGTGTTATTGGATATCTTCCGTATAAAAAAAAAGACTAATGGACTTTTCAAAAAATGACTGTAAAAAAAAAAAAAAACAATTAAAATAAAATCAATGTTTTTCATAGTCATTTGATTATGCTCAGCTGAACGAAGAAAACAAACGAAAATTCAAATTCGATTTCGTTTTTCCTGTGACTCGTGTTTTTATTAACCAAAAAATTGTATACATAAAATATTTACAGAAAATACTTTCTAAGTAATATTATATATTGTATAAAATATAAGAAGTATGATTTTTGATTAATTGAAATATATATTTCATTGTTTCAGATTAAAGAAGCTTAACGCAGCATCATGTCAAGTCCGTCGTTAAAAGATTTACCAAAAGTGGCGCTAGATTTAAAAAGCGAGCTGGAAGGTTTCAATCACGGATGTATGAAGAAAGCTGAAACTGCGGAGAAAAATGTTTTGCCATCTGCAGAAGGTATTTTAATTAAATGATTTCATTAATTAATTATTTCTCATTTATCTTCTACGAATTATTTTGAAGATATTACAATTATATTTGAACCAAAGCGATTACTTTAACATTTAGAATCCATTAAAATTCTATTATGAAAACACTTGATCAAAGATTAACTTTTAATATTTAAAATAAATTCATTTATTGATTAAATTTAATGCTACTTAATGAGAATCATTTTTATGACCATTCTCAATAATAAATAATATAAAAATATATATATTACTTTATCTATACTTGTCGTTTTATAGATGAGTGGCTTATTTATGATTAATATTTCATTATTTTTCATATTTTCATAATAAAAGAAAAATTTCGATAATTTATTATTTAATAATATATGTAGACGTGCGACAAGAGCGACAACATTCTGATTTGATTCATGGTTTGGAAAGTTTTAAACAAGATCAATTGAAGCATGCAGATACAAAGGAGAAGATTATTTTACCAAATGCGAAAGGTATCAAAATGAAGGTAGAACCTTCAAACAAACAAAAAGTTGTCAACTATTGCTATTTTGATAATCAATAAAATCAATTTTGATATCAAAGCTTAAGGGTAATTTGGTAATAATAAACTCAATTAAAATTCCTTCCGCTTTTTAATCAAAAAATGTGGGCAAGCAATATTGGATTGGGATTATATCATTTGGTGGTAAAAACACAAGTGATGCTTTGAAATTCTTATCATGGATTTCATACTCGCTAATATGTATACGTCTTTAGATTATCTTCATGTTATTACTTGTATATATGTTTATGCTTATACATTTTTTGTTTTCAGGATACTTCTTAAGGAACATTGCTTATTACTAAATAATTATATTTATATAATTACTAATAACTAAAATAATTATATAGTAATTAATTAGTAATGTATATATTTGATTTATTAGTAATATATATATATATATATATATATTACTAATAAATTAAAATAATAATTATAATATTAATTATTTCATATTTCGATCAATCAATTGTTATAATTAGATTTTCAATTTTTACAGATGTTGCAGCAGAAAAAACTCAGCAAACACTGATTGCTGGCATCGAAACATTTGATCCAACTAGTTTGAAACGTACTACTACTCAAGAGAAGAATCCGTTGCCTGATAAAGATGGTGAGTGTACATTTCAATTTATTATCAATATGATTAATAATAATTCAATAAAACTATTACATGTAAATAATAATTTATTCCATTATTCTTTTTTTTCTAGCTATTCAACAAGAAAAGGGAAAGCAACAATTGATATCTGGAATCGAAAATTTTGATACAGCGCTACTTAAGCATGCAGAAACGCTTGAAAAAAATCCATTGCCTACCAAAGAAGGTTCGTGTGTAACTTTAATAGAAACGTTAAAAGCAACAACAACAAAAATAACATAAAACAAACGTAATCAATATTTCTGTGTTTTAGCAATTGCTGCTGAAAAAATAGCTGCTTAAGAAGATCATCGGAATAATGAAGAAGAGCAAAAAAAAAGCAGCAGCAATTTGTCATTTCTTCCATTTTCTATATCATGACATTGTATAACAATAATTCATACATTACCAACAAAAATGTGAATGCGAAACACTGTGTTAATGTAATCTCATGATTATACTTATACTACCGTCACAAACGTTCCTTCTGGCGATATCTAAACGCAATAAATGGTTTTCTATTATGATCAAGAAAACCCTTAGATATTATGGCGATGCGAGTCCTAATATTTTTTCTCAAACTAACTTGATTTTAGGCTCACAATACGCTATCATCCAAATATTTTGATACTCGTCAAAGGATGTACTTTTTATACTAAAAAAAAAAAATAAAGCTGCACGCAAGTAAAACTTTATTTTCTATAGCAGCAAGAATTAGTGGCATTGCATACGTTATAGATATCGCAGAGCTACACCGATGATTGACTTTATATTTGTGTAAAAATCATATTTTATATAACGGGCTATTGTACTTTTTTAATATTTCGTACGTAACGCATTGTCATTCCAATGAAATTATTATGATGAATAATAAAAATCATTTGTATAAAAAAATTTTTCTTTCTCATCATTTAATCACAACGTAATTAATCATTACATATTTATTAATTTTTCTAAATAAATAATATAAAGTTTTATTAAACAACAACAACAATAACAACAACAAAATATATAAATTTAAATTTAATCAAATAATGTGAGAATACAAATAATTTTACGTTAATTTTAAAAATACATTTTAAATGTAAGTATAATGTTCTGTTTATTAACTCAAAATTACCGCGCATTATAAGAAAACAGAAACAGAACAAAGGACTTGTCCTTGAAGTTTGTAATTGTCAACTGAAATCAAATGTATGATCTCTATAGCTCTGATGTTAATATATTTTTTTTTTTAAACTAGTAATTTATCGGTTTATTACACGATAAGGTAAAACGGATAGATACATATATGTGGTAAATTATAATATTTTATATCTAGTAAATATCACGTATTTAAATTTATTCATTTGATTAACGATCTTTCTATCATTTGTTCATCTCATTTAACCAATAGTAGTTAAAAAAAAAAAAAAAACAACATTTATCCGAACACGTGCGGTTAAAACCGTTTTATATATTCTTTTCTCATTACTTATTTTCTTTCTTATTAACAATTATAATTATTCATTTTTGGTGACTTTATTTCTAGGAAATTATAACAAGTTAATTAGTGATCTATAAGATTAAATAACGATTTATAATCCACGTAAGTAAATCAATCTTTATCCTTCAATTGTTCTAAAATAATGAATTTAACGTATTGCACATATTATATTATTATATCTTATAATCCGTATTTCATTGTTAAGTAGATATTCTTTTATTTTTAATTAATTTTATATATTCTTTATTGATTTTCATATATTTTTAATTGATATATATTAAAAAAAGGTACAGTAGTAGCATTTACTATTTTTTGTGTAAGGTCATATCAAATGGATATATATATATATATATATACAATGTGTGTCAACATTTTTACATAAATTATATTAAAAATAAATATATAATATAATATAATATAATAAATAAAACATGATACTTACAAAATCAAATAGATTGATTAAACTTGATTGTTAACTTTTTTTCTAAATATGAAATATATTTGCATGTTTCTTTTTGTTTGTTTGAAGAATTATGGAAATATCTCCCAGAAAGTCTTCAAAAAGGACGCAAGAACATGTTGATGAATGGTTACAAAGCCAAGGATATTTTCGAAAACATATTCCTAGGGATCCAACTTGTTTGTTCAGAGCTGTTAGCGAACAAGTTTATTTAACACAATATTATCATATAAGAGTGAGAAAAGAATGTGTTGAGTTCATGCGACAAAACAAGCACTTGTTTGAGGAGGTAACAATTATTAAGAGTGTTTCTTTTTAAATATAATATTAATTGAATATTTTTCTAATCATTATTTCATTACTTTTTTTTGTTTTTGTTTTCCAGTCCGTAACAATTCCATTTGATAATTATCTCGAACAAATGGCATGTTTCACAGAATCAGGTGGTCCGAATGAAATTCAAGCTATATCTTTACTTTATAAAAGAGATATCATTTTATTTAACGGACAGAAACAAATTTGTAAATCAGTGACTAATAATGGTTTTACAAATCATATATATTTATGTCATACGCCACAGAAACAATATGAAAGTGTTTATAATAAAAATTTTGTTATGGTTGCTGGTTTTTGTCAATGTAAGTAGTCATTGATTTTATCATTTAGTCATGAATTTTATATTAAATTTCATTTTTTTTTTACAGCTATTATGTATCAAATTCTATATAAAAATGTTTTTGATATGAAAAATGTGGATAATACTGTTCATAAAATGCTACATGATAGAAGTTCTTCCTTAAGACATGATAAATTCTTTTTAAAAGGAAATATTGAGATGCGAGAGTAAGTTTTATTGTAAAATATTTCTTTTTTTTTTTAAATTGATAATACACATATGCTTTATGCATCCTCATACATTTCTTTACAGACAGTTATCTGCAGAAATATATAAAAGAATGGAAAATAGCTGTGAGACTATAGGAGACATGTATACTTTTTCAAAAGGTATACCACCATTTCCTTATAGAGTCGCTAAAGCTCTTGATATTAATATTTATCGTAATATAGATTTCGACGTATGGCATGAAATTAGACGAGGTATGTAATTTACATTACATCTACTATATTATTATAAATATTTAATTGATCTGTAATATTTGAAAATGGTATAAAAATCTATTTATTTATAAGTTGACATGTGAAATTTAAGAACTCACATATTAGTTCATTCAAAAATATTGCCAAACGTTAATAAATTTTCACTTTTATTATAACAGAAGGTATAATAAATACAGTTAAGTTATATTACTAAAATTTTGTGATCTTTCTCGTTTTCTATACAAATAAAGAACTTCACAATGAGTATTCTTTTCATAGATATTTTCTAAAGAATGAATTAATTAATTATTCATTTTTACATTGTTAACACACACAGAAATAAAGAATGCTGGTTGGACAAGATATAATAGTAATGGACTTCAAATTGGAGATAAATGTTTAATTGAAATGAACTTTAATAAAAGTGACTTGGATGGAATCAATAATAATGCAGGTGCATTAGAAAATAATCAAAATTGTAATGAAACAAAAATTATACAAAGAAAATCAAATCAAGATCCTGCAACATTTTGTGGACATATTCAAGAAATAAGTAAAAACGATGGTTCAGTGATAGTATTTATAGAAGAACTTGGAGAAAAAAGGACTGTACCATATTCATCCCTTAAACCATTATCTTTACGAAAAAATAAGCAAAATAATTGGGTACCAATATGTAAAAAGAATGTTCAACTAATTGATTCCAGTAGGTGTATAATTTAAATAAGATTCTTCCTTTTATGATTTTTTACATCATCAATGTATATATATATATATATATATAATTTTTGTTTCAGATCAAAAATATAAAAAATCATCTAACTCAAATTCGAACAAAACAAAGGAACAAATAAATCGTATTGATGCTTCATCTAATAATAATAATAATAATCCTGGAGGAAATCTTAATAATAAACAAGATTCTAATAACACTTGTGTTTCTAATACTAATAAAATAACTACTCCCTTATTAACATCCAGCAATACTGGATCTGTTATGTTAATTACAAATAATAAGGATAGTAACAATGACAATATAAAAAAAGAAAATTTTCCGGAACATCAATGGCAAAAACAAGAATGGTAAATATTACACTATCAGTAAATATTAATTATTATTTTAATATTATAAATTACTGTTTTGTTAGTAGGAACAATCAAAGTCAGATACTTGGAGAAAATACATTGGGAAAGTTACAAAATTATGCTACAAATGTATGACAATCATATACTACATTATACAAAATGAAAATGATAGATTTTATTGTAAACAATAAATTTTTGGTATTTTTTTTTTTTTCAGAATAATAATCTTCAATTTAGTGGACAGGGAGATATCAATGAAAATACAATAACAGATAGTAGAGAAGGTATGTTGTTATTTACAAATAAACAATATAATAATGTATTTACAAAATAAACTATATAAAACATTAATTATATTATAATTACATTTGGAAAACTTTGTTTGTAGATAACTCGCAAGTTATAACTGGAAATTCATCATTGTATTATGTTGCTTCGGATGGTAATTCTTATCCTGCTGTACCGTACGTGCCTGGTTATACAGGTGAATTAGTACCTGCGAATCAAACATTACAAAATGTCAATAATTCGACTCAAAAAGGTATAGACTTAAATAGCTGTGATTTACCATTATCAGGTGTGTATTTTAATCTAACAAGTTAACTTTACAAAGTAGCCCACTTAATTAAGGGTATAAGATTTAATAGTCATTCAATAAATTATTCTCAACTGAGTGGGCTATTTCGTTAAAAATATCCTTTATATATAAATTATATATATAAATCGTCTTTTTCGTTTCAGATCCAGCTACATTAAAATTTTTCTATAATTTAGGATTAGAGGTAAGATACATTTATAAAACTTGAATATTATATTAAATTAAAAATATAATCACATAAATTGTATTTTACAGTATTTTCGAATCAATCATGCATGGAACTATGGTCCTAATGGACAATCAGTACCGCCGGAATCTTGGTGTATATCTGTTCCACCTGTTACATCATTAAATACAAGTATTATATATTTTTTACAATATGATTTACATAATATATATATATATGTATATTGTATATTTAATAATTTGATTAAAATATTTTTTTTTTTTTCATCTATTTACAGATGCGCCTCCAAATATAGAAGAAATACAAAATATTAACGCATGTATACTGGAAGATGAAAAATTAACAGAACAAAAAGAAAGTACTGACAAAAATGCAAACAATATTGTTATTCAACAGCCAGCGATAAAGACGATAAATATGTGCGTAAATAATGCGACTGATTTACAAAAGGACAAATTAAAAAAAATGGACAATGAAAAGAAAACATCATCGTTTGTCCATGACAATATTAAAGAGACTGAAAATATCAATAAAGACAAACAACGACCTAATAATACAGCACCACGATTTAAAAGAAGTACATTTAAAGATAGATTTTATTAATGAAGTAATATGTTATTTTAAATCAATAATTTTCATAAACTAATATACTGCTTTTTTTTTTTTTTTTACAGATCAACATTATAATAATAATTGCGAACAAATGTATCCTCATAAGAATATTTCTAAGCAGTATCAACATAACTCTAACTTTAATGAATCTCCAAATTTTCAAAATTCACAAAATGGTGATATGCAAGTACCGTATATAAATACTACTTTAAATCAAGTATATGTGCCTCCTGGAATGTCCAATTCTTGTCATCTACCCTACATACAGCAACCACCATATGTAAATGTACCATATTGTGAAAATGAAATGGATTCATACGGAGGCCCATATTATTTACCTCAAGGAGGCTTCCCTAGTATTACTTGCATGCCCAATTCTGATGTCGTTGATGCAAGTAATGTACATTCCTTTTTACCATATTTCTATCCAAGTGCAGAAACATATTCTCCGGCTTATCCGTCTGTATATCCACCATATATACATCCTCAACAGCCTGCATATAATGGTTTACCACCGCAAAATATACACGATCCATGGTATTCACTTCCAGAGCAACATTATTATCTACAATATGGTCCTATACCACTTCAATCAGCAGAGCTCTCTAATGAAATAGGGCAAAGTAATAATTCAAATTTATCAACTTAAGGAATATATTCATTATAAAATAGTATTTTTCTATTTTTTCTTATTAAAATATAAAAATTTATATATATATATATATAATATACATATATGTATATTATATAATATCGTAGTATCTAATTACTGTTATAAACTCTGTTATTAACATATCCATATGTAATGTTATTAAAGCGAATTTTTATACTGCATACAGTTTATATTATAAAGAACAAATTTAAACAAAGATACAACTATCTTTTCTATCATTTTTGTAGTTGAATTCAAAATAAACATAAATAGCATACCATTTATAGTTTCATATTTGAGTGGCCTTAAACCAAATATATTTCTTATCTATATAAGGAAATAATATCAAATTTATATATTATAGTATTAAATATATATAACAAAATTTCTGTATACTTTCTTTTCTTATTTAAAAATAAGTACAGTCTTGTTTATGTTTTAATTTTCCGACAGTTTCGTTTATTCTTACCTTTATTAAATATATACATTATAATTTATATTATAATACTAACATAAACAATTATTATGTTTAAAATTACTGTATATTCAATATCAACTAAATCTATTAAAAATTATAATGTTTATCTAATAAACATTCATTTATTTTTTAATTTACAAAGTATTTTTATATAATAAATTAATAAGTAACTAACAGTAATTTATTAATAATTATTACATTTACAACAATAATTTGTGCATCTAAATAAGAAAATATTTTGCATTTTGAATTATCCGCGCCTTACCGGACAGCGCGCGCTTGTCCAACGCGTCTTTTCCTATTGGTATAACTGCCAACCAATGAAATGTTAACATTGATCAGTAAAATGGGGAGCTTGGCGGAGATTTTAAAAATTTATTAGTGACTTTGTTTTAACAAAGTATTTTATAATTTTCTTTTAATATTGTTTTGCTTGCATTATTTAAGGGTTAATATAATAATTAAAATTTAATATACTGAATAGTTACAGTCTATAATCACACAAAATTCCCAATATTTTAATCCTGATAATATAATAGCGTAAACACTACAGTAAAGAAATATACGTTTCTAACAGAACACAATAAAACGCACATATTTATAAGAGAAGCAAAATAAAGAAGTTTATGTAATAAAGATAACTACATTTGATGTTATGATAAAACGAATTAGGAATGCAATTGTAGGAATTAATAAAAATCAACGAGAAATTTGTCATATTAGAAACAGCATAGTGGCAAACTTCTATTTGTGTAGAAGAGAGACATTTTAAACAGTACATTTAAATAACTTTTGAATGAACCGTTAGATGACCTATCTTCGTATAACCTTTCTTTCTTATTTTGGAGCGTGGAATACGCCCACAACTTTTGTATGAGAAAACTTCAGACATTTTATATATTCTATCTTATTCTTTTTACTTTTTTACTTTTGTTGTCCAACTTTCACTCTGCCCTCTGAAGTAAGATTGACTTTACTACTCCATAACCTCTCTTTACTGTTTGTTAAGCAAATATTAGTGTCTACATTTCTATAATAAGTATTAAGATTAACTAATAATTCTTTAGTAAAGTTAAAAGATATTTGGTAATTAAATATAATTTTATTTAATCTTTTTAAAATAAAAAGAGTACGTTTGTGGCGTGTATTAATTATACGTATATGTGTATATGAAATTATTAGTACATATGCATTTTTTTAATAATAAATAGTAGATACTTTATGCTTTTATAATTAATAATATAAACTACATGTAGTATTGACCTCTAAAATTGTGTTATATTTATAATATATTGTTTTGGAGTAGAATTTTATATAATTTTAAAACTATAAGAACAAGTGTTAGTATAGTACATCTTAAATAGTGCCTGAAATTAGTGTCTTTTCCTGCTATAATTTGAATACATGTTGTCAGAACAGTAAGTTATTATTTGTTTAAATAAAGAATAATGATAAGTACAGTTTATTGTTAATTATTTTTGTTAATATATATATGTATGTATATATATATATATATAATGAAAGTATTTATTTTTATAGAACTTACATTATTGATTGTTACTATTATGGAAGGCAAAAGTAACGAACAGATAAATTTACCAGAAGTAATTATTAAAACAGAACCTTTGGATCAAAACAATGTTCAGTCAGATGTACAGCAGTCCCAAATACAACCAGTTTGTGCAGAAAAAGAATGTGAACAGCGTATTGAATGTACCACAGAATTTCAAGATACTGAAACTCGAGCATTTTTATCAAAATGTATATTTTGTGAGAAAACATTTACCATCGGCGATGATCCTAAACTCTTGGAGTGTTTACATGCATCTTGTACTACATGTGTCAATAATAAAATTGCAGATCAAAACACATCTGCTGATGTTGATGTTTTATGTAAATATCGTTATTATAACGTGCATACTTCATATATACCTAAATTTTCTATATACTAATATATGTTTATATATTTTTAGTGGAGAGCAATGTTATTGTTTGTCAAATTTGTAATGTTACCAGTCAAGTAGAAAATTTAATTGAGAATAGATTTATTTCAAAAATTATCGAAGAAGATAATACGGGAACAGATGATGAATCTATAGAAACAGAAGAAGAAAAAAAATGTACTAGTTGTCACGATAATGCTATTGCTACTAGTTGGTGTGTGGAATGTGAAGAATTCATTTGTCAAAGCTGCGTCATGGTGATTAATCTATCCTTTAATATATGTCACATAGATGTATTTCATATATTCGTTTAATTTTGTAAAAGATTAAAATAAAAAAAGTTTTCTTTTATTTAAGGCTCATCAAAGGTTAAAGATAACAAAAGATCATACAATTAAACCAAAGGAAGAAGTTGCAAATGACAGAGACAATATTAAAAAGGGTATCAAAAAAGTACCTACTTATTTATTTTGTACTATTCATTCCCACGAACAATTATCCTTATTTTGTCAGACCTGCGATAGATTAACTTGCAGGGATTGTCAATTGTCTGATCATCGTGATCATAAATATAAATTCATCCATGAAATTGCAGCAGAAACAAAATCTTGTGTCTCAACACTTTTAAAGGAAGTTAGGTATTATCGTGTTTATGTCTCTTACTTTCTATTTGAATAATACGTAAATTTGAATTAATTTAATGTGTATCTTTTATTTTTTTGTTTTGTTTTTATCTCTCTTTCTTTTTATGACTTATTCTGTAATTATTACAATTATTTTTAGTTATAAGCGAGTTTTATTACGAAGTGCTATGAAAGTTATAGAAGATAGACAAATTTTAATTGTGGAAAAAAAAAAGACTTTAGTTCAAGAAATAACTCAGATGGTAGTACAGTAAGTAAATAAAATTGACTTGTTCATATTTATTTAAAAAGATTGTTTCCATGATGATTTTTGTTTTAGATTAACAAATGCTATTAATACAAGAGGTAAATTATTAGTCATGCGCTTAAATGAAGTTTGCGATCAGAAACAAAATACATTAAATGAAAAGAAGGTCGCTTTGGATCAATTGTCTAAACTTACAGATCATTGTATACAGTTTGTGAGTCATGCTTTGAGTAAGGGTACAGATATGGAACTTTTGTATAGTAAAAAGTAGGTTATTACTTAATATATATAAATATTTCTACATATATGCATACATACAAACAAACAGCATAAGAATGTTTTTATATTTTCTTTTTTTTCTTTATAAATAATTATGTAATTATTATTAATTGCAGATCTGTTACAAGTCATTTACAACGTATAAAAAGTCGACGTGCTGATATTCCTAATCCGGAAATACCAGTTAGAATACATTTATCTTTTGACAAAGTGCCAGATTTAATAAAAGGTTAAGTTATTAAAATTTATATAATTATATCCATTAAAAATTTGTCTTTTATATCATAAAATATAATATAATATTTTTATCAATTACAGTTGTTTCATCTATTGGAGCAATAGTAGTAGATGGAAGAGTATATCCTTCAATATCTCCATCTGCTGGTTCCAGCTCACAATCTGTCCCACTTCACGAACCACAGTCTGAACAAAAACAAACAAATATTTCTATCAATACACCTGTAGATAATTCAGTTATTGCTGTTCCTCTTCCTATTGTGACTCAACAGCCTAACAATACACAACAAAATTCTTATCAACAAATTCCAGTTCATCTTACAACTCAACAACAACCACAACAACAAGTACCATCTCCAAATTACATGCAACAACATTTCCCTGCACACAATATGCCTCGTTTATCTCCACAAATACAGCATACTTATAATAATAAATTACAACAGCCACTCATGATGCCACAACGTCCATTAAGTGGCTGTCATCAACAAGTTACATCATCTACGCATCCACACCAACAAGTACATTTAGAGACACTTGGTCAAAATACAAGTCTACGTGGTCTTTTGGCACATAATCCTCCACCATTTCGACCTGCTATTAATACTGTACCATATCGAATATTACCATATCGATATCCTCCTGGAGCTTCTCAAAGACCTATGCCACCAAATTCATACCAACCAACAAATACACCTGTAGTATCAGGTATTCGATTACAACAATGTAATCCTACTACTCCATCAACTCAACACGTAAATTATGGCTCGATACAGCAACCTGTAGCACGTTGGCATATTCCTCAGAATATATGTCTTCCATTTTATGGTGGTGCTCGACATCAATCTACATCACTTATGACAGTTCCTGCTAATGAAACATACAAAATAACATTGAAAAATCAACAATCAAATAATCAAAAGTACAGTAATATTAATGTTACTACTAATTCAGATATGCCATCACAATCACCAAATACAGTATCTGTGGGACATGCAGTAAGTTCATCAGTACCCAAAACACCCAGTCCTGTACCACCTGGCAAGACAGATGAAACAGAGAAAAGTTTAGACAAATTTTGTCAAAAATCATTAAATGATTTAATGCTTACTATTGCGAAATTAGATAGCAATGGTATTGTAGTAATACCAGAAGCCCAAAAAAATAGTGTGACTTCTATTCAAGTAGATAGTTCGACTGACGAAGGACTAAATGCAATGGTAGTAGAGAATTCTTCAGGTGAATATTTATTTTGTTTAAAAATAATAATAGTATAATTTTAAATTTTACGAATATTAGAGGTTTTTTTTTTATCATAAATAATATTATGAAACATCAACAGATTTCTAAGATAATTTATTTTCGTAATATTTTTAATGCAAACTCTTTTTTTTTTTTTTTGAACATGCATTCAACAGATAATCCAAAAAACACTACAGCATCTATGGTGAAAGATGATCCAAATGAAGACTGGTGTGCTGTATGCATGGATGGTGGAGATGCAGTATTATGTTGCGATAAGTGTCCAAAAGTCTTCCATCTTTATTGTCATATACCTAGTTTGAAATCATTTCCTGAGTAAGTAATACATTGGAAGTAATTATGAAAGGTCAGGGAGAGTTTCGAGAGACAAAGCACCTCCTTTGTTTATAATTATATGAAAAAAACTTCAAAGAAAAAAGTTGCATTATCACAGGAGAAGACTCTACCTATATATATAATTAATTATTTTTTCTAATGTAAAATTACTTTAGCGAAAGTGAAACTTGGCAATGTATGCTATGTACAAATATTCTTGATTGCTCTGATGATCCACCTGGAGAAAAAAAAGCGAATTCTATGAGTGCCAAGGAGTTAAGAATAGCCCAAAGAGTTGTTCTAGAACTATATTGTCAATATGAACAAAGTTTACCATTTCGAGAAATTGTATCCTCAGAGGTTATTATCTTTTTTAAATCAATTATTTTAATAAACGCTTAATACATGATTAATATTATTACAAAAATGATATGTTATTAAATAGATAACTGAATACCATCGCATCATCAAGAAACCTATTGCATTAGATGTAATCCGAGACAAATTAAAACCTGATCATCCAAATCATTATACAGATTTAAGACAAGTTATGACAGATATTAGACTGATGTTTAAAAACGCCTTTATTTATAATCCCGTAAGATTTTATGCTTTTATATATGATCTGCGTTTAAATAAAACAATATTAAACAATATTATTTATCTTTTAGGTGGAATCACAAGTATACCAAGAAGCACGTAATTTAGAAGAATTTTTTGAAAAATTGTTACTCAAATGGGCTCCAAATTATGCATACGACGATCCTTTTCTTTCTGCTAATAGAGAAGAAGATGAGGAAGTTTTCCCTCCAAATAAAAAATATCGACGCATAATTACTGATTAATATTTAATTAAAATAAAAATTAAAATTAACACACAATTAGAAGTTTTATGATGAATTAACAAAATACTTTGCATGAATATTTCTGAAAAGTAAAGTAAAACAGTGAAGTTATTAAAGTGACACTATTAGATATACAGTAGGACCTCAGTTTATTCGCGTCGTTGTATTTGTAAGTAGCCAAGTATATTTTGGTAAGTACAATGACATAGATAAATGAAGATCTTACTGTATATCTCGACTTGATTTGAATGTTTATTAACCACTTAGGCACTGCACGCCATTATAGTGGCTTCTGTGGATATTGATGTACGAAATATTACCATTTAAAAATACAGCGTCGCGGAAAGATCTGCAGTAGCAAAAAGGTTAACAAACAGAAGATAAAAAACGATCGATTAAAAGATTTATAAATAAATATAAGAACAGATAACTGAGCCTTCGAAAACCAAACTTTAGTTAATCGAGGTCCTGCTGTATTTTGATACTTACAAAAATTCATGTTTTTTTTTTTTAACAGCTTTATTTTTAAAAGCGATTTTAACTAATGTTCTTTTATAAATATTTATAAATATTTTTACTTTATAGTATTATTTTAAATATATAACAATATGCACACAATCTATTGGGAAATATTAAAATATTTATTAGTTAATTAATATTAATAAATGTTCCATCGAAATCTTTTGACTTTTACTTTAATTTTATATTTTTAATTTTAAATAACATTCATTCTTAATATGTATATTATTCATAGTTATATAAAAGGAGCAAATCGTTGTAATTAAAATAGATATCTGTTTGTGACAAAATTATTACCAATTCCGAAATTAAAAATAAATGTTTAAGCATATTTTTACATTTAATTGTGAGTATCGTTATATACAATTTAATATTGTTATATATTTAGTTATAGAAAAATTTGTTAAATTGTACAAAATTAAAAAAATATCCTTATAAACAGGGTACACCAGCTAAAACTACCTAAATATATTGTTTTTTTATGATACGACAAACTTTTTAGTCAGCATATTCATCTCTTTTAACCCCAATAGATTTTTTTTCCTTTGAAAAAAGTTTATTAACAGTGACCTACTCTAACTCCAAAGGATATGAAGAAAATTGCATAATTAATGTTTGTGTTTCTGTAACACCAGAAACACATTTCATTCATTTCAAAGTTACTACATAAATATATTTAAATGTATTTTTTTTATCCACTACAAGATAAATTATAAAAACATAAATGTTTACAGAATAAAAAATACGGAGGAACTTGAAAAAATTCATACAAGATGACCTAATTAAATTTGTTTTTTTTTTTTTTTATAACATATACTTCTTTCTAAACTATTCAAAATATACCATAAAAGTTTGTTGCATCGTAAAAAAAACAAAATATTTATTTGACTTCTTCTAATTAGGATACCCTGTATATATATTATACATATATATATATATTATAACTAATTGCATGTTTTTTTACATCTTAAAAAACTTTTATAATTTCTTATATAGAAGTAAGTAATTCAGATCAATGTTAATTACGTATTATTATGTATATAAATATGATATTAAATTGAAAAAATTTATTTTTATAATGTACCCATTTCAAAAAATGAATGATAAAAAATTTACAGTTTTTAATTTAAAACAACTATTTATTAAAATAATAAATATATTAACCCTGTTAGATTTGAATAGTTTCTTCCGAACCTTTCCGTACGGAAAGCGTCTCCAATGATTACTACTATCTCTACGTATAAATGTTAATAATTTTGAACAATGATTATTTATTAGAAATGGTCAAATTTGCAACATACTTTAATGTGAAAAAATATATATAAAAAAACTAAACTCAGCAGCAGACTGTTCAGCAGGGGTACCGTTGCGGTAAACACGTCCGTAGCGAAAGGATTAAAATCTTGTTGGGGACAAGTGTATTGAAGCACAAATAGAATTTATTTTGATTAAAATAAACAGCTTTTGTGTGTAAAAAGATATGTAGTTTTATATATTTACTTAAAAATCTGACATTTCATACTTATCAACCTAATACAAACACATAATGACTTTAATTTTTGAAGTTATCCAATAAATTTATGAATTTTCACTTGAGTAGTTTATGGAATTTTTCCAGCAGATACTTTGTAGCTTCCTTTACCGGATGAATCAATGTTTGCAGCACTACTACTGTAAACTCCTTTTGCACCACCTACGGTACCACTTTTACTTGCTCCTTCATTTATGTCACCCAAACGAGAGAATATACTGAAAATTTAATAAAGATTATCAGAAACATTAAATATATGTATACATATTATGTATGTCATTAAAATAATATTATAATAGAAGGAAAGTTACCAAAAGCGCAACATTAAATAATAATTAACATAATCGCAAAAGGATTCTTTTAAAAGAAAACTCTATCTTAGAGCAAAGATCATTGGACAAATATAACTTTAGATTAATTACTGTAATATTCACGCGAGTGAATTATATAAATGAATGTATTAATAACTAAAATTATAGTCTTTAAAAGCAATTTAAAATGATCGATTGTACTTCCGAGAAATCATAAAGCGGTTCACCTTGATGATTATTATACAATATTATTTAAAGATAGAATCATTCAAGGAAGACGGTAAAAATCAATATTTTTTATATGAAATATTTTGTATTTTCTAGCCTTGTATAATATAAATGCATGAGCTTGATTAATGTCTATTTATGATGAAGAATTATCAATAACTTACTCTACGCCATGACCACCATGACCGCCATAGCCATCATCATCACCGCAGCCTCCACCACAACCTCCTCCACCGCCCCCACCGGAGCTTCCTGCGTTGGCACTAGCTTGTGCATTTGCACTAGCACCACCACTTCCGTATCCACCTCCGCCACTTCCTCCGTGACCTCCACCGAGGCCTCCACCGAGGCCACCACCTAGACCTCCACCGTGACCTCCACCAAGGCCTCCACCTCCGCCGTGACCTCCACCTAGGCCTCCACCGAGACCTCCACCTCCACCTCCGCCATGACCTCCRCCAAGGCCTCCACCGTTACCTCCTCCGTATCCTCCAGCACCTACAAATATTATTCAAAATTGTAATTATAAGATTAATGTTTTAAACATATGTTTGCTGGTAAAATAATATAGATAATAAAAAAAGATTTATTTACCTGCAGATCCACCACCGTATCCACCGGAGCCACCACTTCCACCCCCGTATCCACCACTTCCACCTCCGTATCCACCACTTCCACCATAACCACCACCAGAACCGCTACCACCACCTAAGCCTCCACCACCACCGTGACCACCACCGTAACCTAAAGATTTTTATTATAAAAAATTAGATTTCAAGTAATATTTATATTTAATGTGTAAGTAACATCATATACACATTTATTTACCTCCACCAATCGGTGTGCCTTTTATAGGACCACCTCCATATCCACCACCTCCGCTACTACCTCCTCCATATCCACCGCCTCCGCTTCCACCTCCTCCATATCCACCGCTACCAGCTCCAGCACTGGCTCCTCCATAACCACCTCCGTGACCTCCGCCGCAACCACCAGGCCCACAACCACCACCGCTTGGTCCTCCTCCATATCCACCACCTCCGTTGCCACCACCGTATCCACCTCCTCCGCTACCGCCACCTCCGTATCCACCTCCTCCGCTACCGCCACCACCGTATCCACCTCCTCCGCTACCGCCACCTCCGTATCCACCTCCGCAACCAGCACTACCACAACCACCACCACCTAATCCTCCTCCGTGACCACCGCCGCCTCCTAATCCACCACCGCCTCCTAATCCACCGCCGCCTCCTAATCCACCACCGTGACCACCGCCACCTCCCAATCCACCACCGCCTCCTAATCCACCACCGTGACCACCGCCACCTCCCAATCCACCGCCATATCCACCTCCTCCAGCATTGGCATTGGCATTAGACAATGCTGATGATTTTCCACCTGCAYTTGCACTTGCACTGGCTTGTGCACTTGAGCTTGCAAAACCACCTCCAAATGCATTTGCATTAGCAGAACTGCTGGCTGAACTGAGTGCACCAGAACCTCCACCGTATCCTGCACCTCTCTTCTCACGAAGATAAATTACCTTCTTCACGTAAGGAAAATATGATTCTTTTGACAGAATCTGTCCTGTTTAAAGAAAAATATTTTGAAGATTATTAATAGGCCCCTTAAATTTTATTACATTTGAAAAGGCAATTCATTGTGTTCATATTAGTGATATCTATTTTTATTTTTTAATGATTACTCTTAAAATAAAATGTATCTTATAAGATACATTTTATTTTCCCATATGGATTATATCATCGTCAATAAATTAATGCAAAATGGTGTAGTAGCATGATGTAAGATTTTAATTATCATATTTATTAAATCAAATTATGCGAAAAAATAAAAAAACAAAAACAAAAAAACTACGAGAGAAAAAATATAGAGAAAAATCACGTACAAATATGAAATGTATGAAGTGTAAAAATAAAAGATCGATAATTTATGAATCATTTTTTTTTTGTATATTTTAAATGAATAAGTTAAAAGACAGACAAATTCAATAGGAATTTCCGTTCATCTTTATTTACATTCGGACAGGACACCTCGATTTATCAAGGAGATCGTAACGTGGTAAAAATATAAAATTAAACACACACACACACACGAGTCTTACATCATACCTGTTCTTTTCGTATTTGTTTTACACCTTAACACAGTAGTAACGTCGGAAATTAGCATTTTCATTTATTTATTCAAATAAGAATTCCAATAACCGCAATTAGATAAAAACGGAAAATACCGAAACCAAGGTCAGACATGTCACTTCTTTAAAGTTACAGCGACTATTATGAGATACAGACGTGTTCAATCATCGTGAGATTATATCTATAAAAGCGGTTAGAGACAGGATAGTAATTTCCAAAGTTATTTACCGTTAACTATCCTATAATCAATAAGTCACAAATAGCTGATTAATAGACAACCTCTGTTCATCTTCTTCTTTTTTTTTTTTTTCAATATTGTAAGAACGCTTTTAATCTAAAAATTATTATTGTTCATTTTTTTATGAATATAAAAATACTAAATAAACTAATGATATTCAATTGATTATCATTCACGATTTGTATAATTAGTTGTTTAAATTTCAATGTAAATTATTCTTTTCTGTATCATCATTATCTCTGAGAAGATACATTAGCCCTCAAAAGAAGTAACATGTTATTATTTGAATGAATTGTCTTTACATTTCATTACAAGGTGTATTCTAAATTATATATTATTCTTATATACTGCTATATATTATTTAAATGAAAATAGAAATAGAAAACAAAAAATGGTCTTACCTTCAGCATGAACAGAAACTAAGATTGCTAGTAAGGCCAGAAGGCCGATAGCTCGATGCTTCCACATGATGAAACCGGCTTCTATCTTAGCAGAGTATACCCGCGTCTTTATACCCAATCTCCCACTCTTTTATCTTTCTTCCTGAAATACCATCGTTTCATCGAATGTATAGTATACATATGATAGAAAAATAATAAGGGCAAAAAAAAAAAATGCGTCAAGCGTATGTATGTCCAAGGCTAAAGGTAATCTTCGATGGGTACGTAATTAATCTCATCGATAATATTTAGTCATACCTACATTTTTTTGATTTCTTTCAAACTTTTAACACATTTGACATCATTGAACTTACCAATTTTTTACGTACGTCCATTGATAACGGATAAATAGATTAGACATTTTTAATGATGGTTCATTTTCATAGATTTCTCAATGTTTTTTTTTTTATAAGGATAATATCAAGGTTCATACATTTAATCTTTGAAACGGATAGAAGATTTTTATATAAATTTAAAAAGTACATATTTACATATATTTATATATATATAGAAAGTCATAAAAATCCTTGACTAAAAATTAAGAAGTTGTTAGTTTTAGGTAAATATTTGCCATTGTAGGATTCATACAATGGCAGATTTACAACTTAAAATGAAAAACAAAATGTTATTATTCTATTAATAAATCATTATTTATTGCTTTATTATTATTATTTTTTTTTTTTTAATAAAGTGACTTTTAGACATCTTATATACAGGGTGGTTCATTAAGTATTTTCATTATTTGTTATAATATAGAAAAATGTTGTATACAAAACTTATATGTGACATGAAGAGTTATATAAGGTAATAGAAATATTTTCTACATGGGTAAAAGTGTAGAGAATTTTTTAAGGATACTTTGAATTTTTTTTAATGAATCTATATGTTTTTGTTTTTATATGTTGATAATGATACTTGAACGGAATACAACGACGTATGATTCAAGGACATACAAGATCATTCAAGGCAGCCTTGCATTACTGTAAACGGGCATAATTAATTAATATAATTGTTGTTTAATATATTAAATAAAATAAAAAAAGAGTATATTTATATATATAGTTATTCCGAGCAATAAATTTTTTTTATACTCATACAAAATCCTTTTTATCGTATTATAAAATCGGGAAAATACGCGCAACGACGTCAACGTAATTAATAGATTACCGAACGTAAAATTTTACATTCTTCCAAGCTGCAATTATCAAATGGAATTATTTCAATATTTTAGATAAAGGAAATTTTTGTCGGTAAATAACAAAGAAAAAAGAAAAAAAAGCAACAACATTTGATTCATAGAATATTGATGAAATTCTCTCGATTATCATATAGTAGAGTATTGAAAGTGTTATTTATAATCTTAATCCACAATTGATGATCTACAAAAAATTATTGATAACCCCTTGCTTTGAAAAGTTTAACATTACTTATATTCAATAGATTTGCATGAAGATAAATTTAATAGTAAATTAGTAGTACATGTTGCATGTAACGAAAAGGATGTAAAATATTACGAAATCGTTATTTCTAGATATTTTATATTTTAAACAAATGTTTCTTTCATAGAAAACTTTCCTAATGACTTACCTTAATCGATGCATTATAATATAAATAATTCACTGTATTCGCACGTTATTTTAATTATGCGATCGTATATCTTCATTTATCATAGATCGTCAAACATAAGTAAGTGATCGTATTGACTGATATCGCAGAAACAATTATCCATTACCTGAATCGAGATAGACAATAATTTTGTGGTTTTTTTTTTTTTTATTATTAGTGAAATTTACAACTGCACGGGTTTTTCCATTTTATGTTGAATCTAAAGCGGAACATATGTACTATCATGTTTAGTATTTAATACTTTCTGAGTAGATGATAATTATCACGTTATTGAATATTTATGTCAGTATTTCTCTCTATGTAATCTATATGTATCTATTTAATTTTATGTAATATGTGTGCAATAATAATAACAATAACAACAACAACAACAACAACAATAAAATACGTAAACGTTCGAAGATAAAAATAAAATTACATTTATATAGATTTCAAATGACTACATTCGAGAAACTCATTAACATTGTGGTTTTAATTTCTAAAAACATCTTAGGATACATAAATAAACAACACGATACACAGGAATTGAATCTTTCTCACGATTGTCACTGTAAAGATTTATATGCACTTCAAGTAAATAGACTATAAAACGAGCAATGGTAATTAAAATGTTTTATATCAGGAACAATGGGAAACCGTTTCCGTTCGGACTTCATTTAATACTTCTTAATGTTGTATCTTTTTTTTTTTAAATACATCATTTTATCAAAATAGGTGATTATCGACACAACAAATATATAATTGGTCTATAAGATTTATTATATTATATGGCTACAATAGTACATATATCAGTATTGGTCGCACGAATATCTATGTTATTTGTTTATTCGTAAATGATATATTGTTTGATTTATTGTTTGATTTAGATATTAAAAAAAAAAAAAACAAAAAAAATCATTTTATCCAATGAATCATAAATATACGAATATAACATCATCATCATCATCAACATATGAAATCGTAAAAATAAATTACACGCATGTTTCATGGAATATAATTAAATATAGAAAAAAAAAATGCCAAGATTGTCAAATCTTTCTTTAATATTAAATAATTCGCTTTTCATTGTAACTTTCAATCACGCTAATAATTGCATTATTTAAAAAATAGTAAACATCTTAATACGTAGCAAAATTATTGTCTTTTCAAAGATATCAATAACTTAGATTATATATATATATATATATTAGTAGACTAGCCTATAAAAAAAGAGTCCAATATAATTTTTAATATTTAATTTGTCAATGCTAATATCAGAACTTCATTGCGATAATATTTTAACGAATTTTCGAAAAAATCTTCATAAAAATGCATTTCTCTTTCTCTTTCTCTTTTTTTTTTTTTTTTTTCCGTAAGAGTATGTTATTCAATTTTGGCATATATTATTTCTACAGGATGAACCAAAAAATTCCATGGACTCAAAATAAAACAAAAACTAAGAATATTGAAATAGTACGAGAGACAATTTTCGAGTAAATTGAAATTGAAAATCAATCTGATTTATTTTGTTGTATAATAAAGTTTAGCTCACCCTGTATGTGCACATATTTACTCATATCATACAAAACTATCATTCTTTTGTAGTAACTGATTTTATAACAATTACATTTAGCTGCTATTTAATACTCCACATAAATTGTAATTATCACACTTACGAAGGGAACATTTTTAACATAATAAAAATGCTCACGTATTATAACTATTTGTAATATTATATTATGAATTTATTTGCATGTAATTAATAAAGGCAATCCTCTAAGGATGCATTAATATAATAATAATAATAATAATACGAAATTAAATATAAATGAGATAATTTTGAATTATCTAATATCGATACATCTTATTTTTTGTTATCTCGTTAAGATATTACATAATATATTTATTGATTTTTTTTTTTATTATTGTACTATTTATTTACCTGCTTAATTCCAATACTTTTTTGAATATTATTGCGATTGAAATGTTTGAGTAAGGCAGTAATATTTGATTTTTTTTTTTTAAATCTATAATATAAGGAATTACTAATTTTATAAATTATTTTACTAGAAGTTTATTTAATTATACGTCGTTAATCATTTTTACTATTTTGCAATATACTTCAACGATAAAGCAACGAAAATAAAAACTAAATAGAAATTTGCAGAGTTATAAATCGTCTTTTTTTTTTTTTATCCTTCCCAAATGTAAATAAAGAGAATGTAATGTATTTCAAATGAATATTCCGATCTTTCTTTCTTTCTTTCTTCATTATACACTAAAAACAAAATTAAATGCTGTTCTTGTATCCGTCAACGGTATCATCAACAAAGATATGTCATAAATGAAAAATAATATTTAACATTTTTCTTTTTTTTTCTCGTTTCGACTGTATATTTAGCTCTGTTCAGTCGCACTTCTAATTACAACCATCCATCTATAATAAAAATCAATGACNTAAATGAAAAATAATATTTAACATTTTTCTTTTTTTTTCTCGTTTCGACTGTATATTTAGCTCTGTTCAGTCGCACTTCTAATTACAACCATCCAAAAAAAAAAAAAAAAAAAGACGATGAAATAACTTACCGTCCAAATGTATAATCACTCTCAGCTCTAAAGAAATATACGTGACTTTTAAATTGAAGCTTAAATACAAAATCTTTATTTATACCGTCTATTTCCGACGGTGTCGATACTGTATATCCCAATAAAGGTAAGCTTGCTAATGGGAAATCATCTTGATGTGATTTATAGAAAAATAAGCAGAAACTAGTAAACACTACCCATAACTTTTGCCAACCATTACTGTTCTTGAATTTCCGTAATAGAAATCCACTAAGTTGGTTCTACAATAATAAGAATCATCAATTATTTGAAACTCAAGTTGAATTTATTGTATTTTAAAAAGATTCATATATCTGTATAGGTGAATTTAAGTTTACCTGAAATGCACGTAATTGGTCAACGTAACTAATACTAGTACTTCGATGCCAACACACGTGAACGGTCGTGTTACTGCGTTGAGAAGCCTTCGCACCTCCGCAACTTCCTCTCTCTGCTTCTAATCCCATATTGTCTCCCACTTCGTCAGTAGAACCTGCTAATAATAATTGAACGATCAGAGGATTTCATTTCAGTATTAGTCAAATTAATCCATTAAACATAATTGTCATTCATGATTTCTTAATAACTTACATGATTTTAAACTCAAATACGGTAGCTTCGCATCTTGTGCATCAGCATCGGCAATAGTTATATTTAAATCTTCTATCCATCGTTCTTTATCTCCTTCGTTATATGCTGCTACTGTTAAGGATCTATTATAATAGATTATTTATAAGGTATATATTTGAAATTAAACAAGTAAAATGTTATATTATTAATCATCCGAATAATCTCAACCTCAAATTGAAAAAAAAATAGTTGCAACAAAAGTCTTGCTTCAGATGAAAGAATTT